GCTGGAATTTTGTTACAAATACAAACATATAACTCTTCGACCTGTACAGTATTTTAGCAGACTAACTATCCTAGAAGAGCAGAAATATCACTCCTACGAGTTGGAAACGTTGGCTGTAGTAAACTCGTTACAGAAATTTAAAGTTTACCTCATCGGAAAAAGGTTTGTTGGTAACATATTGCAGTGCACCAAGAACATTAACTAAGAGAGACTTACTGCCAAGGATTTCAAGGTCGTGGCTGTGCACGCAAGAATTTTATTTTGTTATAGAATACCGACCTGGAATAAAAGTGAATCATGTCGATACCTTAAGCCGAGGCCCAGTAGAAAATGCGGATGGCTTTGATGAAGTTCAAGTATTCCGAGTAAACGTAGATGAAGAAGATTGGATACTAGCAGCGCAATTAACCGATGATCGATGTAAACATATACATAATGGTCTGAATAAACCACCTAGTACGCACGAAAAAACGCAAATACACAAAGAGTATGCTTTGAAAGATAACAGGATCTTCCGCAAGACTACAAACAGCCTTAGGTGGGTGATACCAAAATCATCCAGATAGAGAATACTGATGTATTATCATGATGGTCATTTCGCAATCGATAAGACCATGGAGGCAATCAGCTACCGATATTGGTTTCAGTCAATGCGAAATTATGTAAGAAATTACATATCAGCGTGCATTGGGTGTATGTACAATAAGAGGCCTTTGGGAAAATGACCTGGTGACCTGCATAGTATTGAGAAGAAAAGCGTACCCATGGACACTATGCATGTAGAAGTAAATCATTTATATTCATAAAAGCTGTAAAGAACACGAAGGCTAGTTTGACCACTACTTTTTTAACTGAAGTAATTAATATGTTTGGTGTACCTAGGCGAATTATATCCGACAGGGGAACTGCCTATAGAATTTTACTCTTCTGTGTGCAACAGCAACTCCGCGCGCCAATGGGCAAGTCGAGAGGATGAATAGAGTAATATTATCTGCTGTCACGGCCTCTATTGAAGACGAAGAGTGCTGGGACGAACTAGTTACGCGTGTACAGTGGGGAATCAATAGCACTATGAATTCTTCTACGGGAAAGTCTCCGTATGAAGTATTAATGGGATATAGGCCTCGAGGAATAAACGACTCATTTTTAACAACAGAGATTTGTGAAAATTAGCCAATAAACCTCGAAGCAACGCGGGCTAAAGTAGCTCAAATCATTGAAAGGAATCAAGAAGTGCAAAAGTTGCATTACGATTCCAGACATAGCAAACCACGAAAGTATGTCGTGGGAGAGCAAGTGCTTGTTTTACGAACAAGTTTCACCAATGATGGTAAAAGCAAGAAACTTGAATCAACGTACCATGGTCCATTTATTATTAATAAGATTTTAGATAACGATCATTATGTGATAAAAGATTCGCGTGGTAGCTACACAGGAATATGTTCCTCAGATAAACTGAAGCTATTTGAAACTATAGTCAGTCCAGAATCATCGGATAAGTCCGATTCGGAGACTAAAGATTCATAGCAAGTCTGAGTATTGGTATTAAATATTTATTTTGTTACAGATCACAAATAAGTCCTGACTTCCCGAGGACGTGAAGAGGTCAGGTTTTGCCTACTATAATAGACCTTAATAAACTAGAAACCTTAATAGGGTGACGCAGTTCTGGTACGAAGAATATGACGTAAACTTGCTACGTGACTATCGATGCGGTGGTTGTTAGTTTTGGGGAATTAGATTATTCACTGTTAAATATTCGTTTGGTACAGATGTTAAATATATTATTATTTTACGATAGTTTTAATTTAAATAATAGTTTACAAAACTTTCAAATATTTTCAAAGAAATTATTGTCAAACTACAAGTGATAAATATCTATTTCTGCACTGAGCAAAATATCTTTAAATATTCTATATCCGCTCCCTATCATCAAAACAATAAATTTTAAATCAATTGTTTGCCAACGGCTTATAATTATATTAGTCATTTTATACGCAGAATAATTTAATTGTTCTTTTTTTTACAAATATCGATATCAGAATTAGATAAGTTTCTAAAGATTAGAATAAATACAGATATTTACAGATAAAATGCTTACATGATGTGACAGCTGGATTTTCGATAATTCTGCCACTATACAGGTTGTCCCATTTAAAATAAACTACATGCTTATTTAGGAAATGGGAGGTATGACGTCTTTAGCCTAAAAATATAGGTCAATAGATACTAAAAAAAAAAAAAAAATAATAAAAAAAAACTTAATTTCATTTTTCTCTAATAAATTTTTCTATTAAGAAAATAACAATCTGAAACTTGGTACAGAATCGTAATAATATACCCTACATCAGTTGGTAACAAAATGTTTGTTCCACTTCATTGATTTCTTATCTTTTACTGCTTCCGAAATTCCTATGAAGTTCATTTTAAGTTACAATTGTAATGTTTTATATAAATATCTCTCCTTATACAGAAAAATGTGATAAAACCAAAAATGTTTATTTATCACCATAATAATAAATCGTGGAATTTTCATCTGGGTCAACTTTATATTTAAGAATGAAGTATTGTTGCAATGCGACCAGGTCATTTTAAGGTTTTCTACCTGGACTTTTCACTAGCTAATAACTTTCGAAAATAGTTTTCTACATTCTAATAAATTATATTTTGTGTATATATTTCGAGTATTGCTGGAGGTAATAATATTACATTTATATTTAAAAAAAAAAGTAACGTTTCTAAAATAAACAGACAACTGAGTGTTAGTATATTGTGCCTAATAAATAATGGCTTACAAGAGACACCAGCATCAACTTTGCACATATGTCTTATGGTCCTCTTCTGTAAGACAAAGACTCTAGCGAACAACTCGGAAGAATATGAAAAGTATACACCCCTTGCAACCGTAATGTTTAAGTTGTATGCAACAATTCTTACTGCAAAAATTCCAGAGGACAGTTTCTTACACAAACTATTAACATGACTTTCAAATTTTAATTTCTGGTCAATGAATAAGCCTAAGAATTTATTTTCGAGTTTTTTGCAAATTTGTTGTTGTCCAACTGAAATTATACCGATATCGCCACTGAATGAGACAATATTTGTTTTCGATATATTAAGAGATAATTTGAATTACACCATTCTTTAATATTGTTAATGTCGTTGTTAATCGTATTAGACAACTCTTCAATATTTTCACTATCAAGTATCCATTAATATTGACATTAATAATATCATTAACATAAATTAAAAATAAAACCGGTCCCAGACCAGATCCTTGAGGAACCCTATAGTGAATCGTAGCATTGATGTTGCTTATTGAAAGAAACTCTTTGTACTCTAGTCTCCAAATAAGACTGGAACCACTTTAGAGCTATTCCTCGGAATCCATATTTTTTTAACTTGCTCAGCAATATTTTGTGATTTACAGTCATAAGTTTTGGATAAATCACAGAACACTGCAACGCAGCTACTCTGTCATTATTTAGTATTTTTACCCGATTGAAACCCAAACTGAGATATAGATAGCATATCTCGTCTTAACCAATTTTTCAATAATTTATGCAAAAGTGGGTAATACAGAATATATAGTTATTTATACAGACATAAAGGCTGGCTACGATTATAGTAATGCTTATCTAAATTTTTAAACCTACAAGTCTTTCTCTTTAACATATATTAAAAAGTTATTAAAAGTAATAGTTAAAATCGATGTGACTTTTCAAATTTTTAGAATGAAAAAAGTCTCCATGGTCACCAAATACGGATGCGATTTGCATTTTATCCTATGAAACGTATTAGTACGACTTCCTATAAGATTAGTGAGAAAAATCACAGATGAATTGTTCGTAAGGACAGAGAATAGGACTTTAGGTCGAATTTGGGGGAATTTTAACAGAAAAATCAGGATTTTTGTTATGGTCTAAGATCCGAAGTAAGGTCGACCTTCACCCATCTGTTTAACAAGGGATGAAAGTTTCTTTTTAATAATTAAAATATGTTTATAAATATACCGCAAATGGGTTGCCTAAGAAAATACGGTCATGACTATTTATTCTTTTAAAGTAAAAAAAAATGACACCCTGTAAAGTATTCCCCAGAGGCTTGACTATGCCCAAACTGTAATCAGCTCACCGCAGAATGGATTAAAGCTTAAGTTTAAAATTTGGTGTTCATCTCTTCATCCGTTTTTGAGTTATCTTCAAAATTCGAAATTTCCTCTTTTCCTCAAATATCTCGAATTAGGTCCATTTTAGAGAAATCATGTATTGGAACAAAATTATAGAGAATGACTTCATAAGCAACTTTTATCATAATAATAATAATAATAATAATACTCTCCCTAATTTCCCCTTACGAGTGAATTTTAACCCCAAAAACTGAGCTTGTGCGGGGCAAGGGACGGCTATTATTATTATTATTACTTTCCTTATCTGCATATAGAAAGGAAAGTACAACATGGCCGTGACCGTATTTTCTTAGGCAACCCATTTTCGGTATATTTATTAACATATTTTATTTAATAGAAAAAAAAAACTTTCATCCATTAAACAAATTGGTGAAGGTCGACCTTATTTACGGATCCTCATATAACTCTAGAAACCATTTGAGCTAGGTTTGCGACGTTAAGTTTCTCTCTAAACAAAATGGTACACATAAATATTGCGATATTTCAAAATTTGAATTTTTTTTTAATTAGTTTGGAGGCACTACCATTATGTTATACATTTTCGAAATATACGCGACGAGTTCTATAAGATGACATAAAAATCAGATATTATAATGGTAATATTAGTGTTGTTTAAAAAAAATTTAAATTCTCTGGATTTATTGATACACGTCACGAGGCATACGAAACCTTTTACTTCAATTATTATTTCTCTGGCTTCTCGTGACATCTGAACGGCAAAATTTTGCTAAATCCCTGTGTAAATAACACAGTTTCCTATGGACTATTTCAAAAGTATGACTACTATAGCTGGTTTCTTTATTTATTCCAGAATGAACCAAACCTTCGGCTTCAAGGCTTTGAACAGTTCAAATGGAAAAGAAGAAAAATGTTGGATCACTTTCGATCACGACTTCAAGAACACCTACAAAATTTGGAACTGTGGAAAAATTCAATGCGATCCATAGAGGGTAACTACGGTGTCGGAATCGTAGCGTATTTCCTATTCGTTAAATGGCTATTCATTTTAAACGTATTACTTTTCGTTTTAATATTTTTATTCATTATTTTACCTACTGTTTTACTAGATATGAAGAAAGACACGTACTGTCCGAACGCCACAATCAATACATGTTGCGCTCATATCTATTTTAACGAATCTACTTCTAATAATAATGTACTGCTAGATCTGATCCAAGGCACTGGTATTTTAGAACGAACTTTACTGTTTTACGGATTTTATTCAAATAACGTACTAGAGTACTTGGTTGGAGGAATCAAGATGTATTACAACATGCCGGTCGCTTATTTTTTTGTGATATTATCATGTTTTGTCCTATCAGTTTTTACCAGTTTAAACGCTGCTGCTAAAGGTTTCAAAGAGCATCTCATCGAAGGAGAAGGACAGTTTTATCATTATTGCAACATGATCTTTGGAGGTTGGGATTTCTGCATACGCAATGAAAAAGCTGCAAAAATTAAGCACAAATTAATTTATAACGAACTTAAAGCCGGGGTGGAGACACAGAGATTGGACGAAGAAATCCTCAGTCGTACGGTTCAAGAAAAATACAAAATTTACTTTTGCAGGGTCATTGTAAATACTGTGGTACTCGCTATTTTATCCGGCTGTGGTTGTGTTATATACTTGGTGTTTACGTTGGCGAATAAACAGCTCAAAGTAACAACTGATAAATATGCAGATCTCTTCTATGAGTTCTTGCCTTCTTTTACGATTGTAGGACTCAATATGGTTATTCCTCATCTATTTTCGTTCCTTATTACTTTTGAAAAATACAAACCTCAAACCGTGCTTAAATTCTCTCTAATTCGTATAGTTTTCTTGCGACTGTCGGCTCTTATCGTACTATACGCTTCCCTGTGGAGCAAAGTTAGCAACGAAAGAAGTGATACCAGCTCTTGTACCGTTTACAATACTGTTCCAGTATGCTGGGAATCTTACGTCGGTCAACAAATATACAAACTGCTCCTCACTGATTTTGCTATACAAATCATTATGATTTTCATAGTAAACTCAGTTAGAGCGCTAATAGCCAGGCACGTTCAAAATAAATGTGTCAAATTTTTCACCGAGCAGTACTTCGATCTGTCAAAACATGCACTAGACGTTGTTTATACTCAAACGTTGATCTGGTTTGGAATATTTTATGCCCCGCTTATATCTTTAATGGGAGCTTTGATATTTTTAATTATGTTTTATATCAAAAAGTTTGCGTGTACTGTAAATTGCAAACCCAGTCCGATAGTATATCGCGCTGCGAGGTCCAACTCTATGTTTATGTTAGTATTATTGATCTCATTCGCTTTTGCCGCCATTCCTTTGGGATTCTCTTTCTCCGATTTGACGCCGTCCAAATCTTGTGGGCCTTTTAGAGGAAGGGCTTCGGTTTGGGAATTGGCTGTAAGTTTGTTTTTGAAAACTCCAGATTGGGTTCAGAGCATTATATTCTTCTTAGGTACCGCCGGTTTTGCGGTACCCTGCATTATCGTACTGGTGCTTCTCGTTTACTATTACACAGCTGTTAATTTGGCCAATAGACAGTTGGTGGGGGTGCTTAAAAATCAACTGGTTCTTGAAGGACATGATAAACAGTTCCTGTTGGATAGGCTCAGCTTGTTTATCAAACAGGAGCAACAGAAAAGACTTAGATCCGAACAAAATAGAGATAATGGGGATAATAGGAGTTAAGGGGAAATTTTGTGAGATTAGTTTTAAGGATACACTTTTAGTCGAGTCAATGAAGCTAAAAAACAAAAAATCGTCAAATCTTCAAAAATTTCAAGAACAGACCCGATTTCAATGAAACAGTTTTTGTGCTACATAATTTTTTTGTTTCTAGTTTTCTTGGGGTTTAGGTGTTATTTGAAGTAACACCTAAAGCGCAAGAAAACTACAAAAACTAATTAAGGTGTCAGAACCATAAAATATAAGAATTCCTAATAATTTATGGTATACCGGATGACAATGAGACCAGGGCCACGTTAATAAATCTTATATTAATGAAGCAATTTGGATAAAATTTTTGGCATATTTTGGGACATAATCTAGAATTGATCCGTTTTCCAGGAATGCCCTTATTTTATTTTTTAAATGGACCATCCTGTACCAAGCCAAAGACAAGAATCTCACTGAGCTAAGGTAAACATGCGACAGTATTCCAGGCAGAAATTGCAGCGATACATCACTGCGCAAAAGAGGTATTAAGACAGAAGGTAAATGGAAAAACCATTGACATATACTCAGACAGTCAAGCGACGTTAAATGCACTCAGTTCTATGCAAGTACACTCGAAGCTTGTGTGGGACTGTTTGGAAGCTCTAACAGAGCTGGGTAGTCATAACAGACTAACCTTAGTCTGGGTACCAGGCCACTGAGAACATAAGGGCAACGAAGAGGCTGATTTACTAGCCCGAGAAGGAGCCTCAAAGGCTTTTATTGGCCCAGAACCCTTCTGTGATGTCACAAAGACAACTACCAGAACATGTACAAAGCAGTGGATGTATAAAAAATCTCAGGAGTGGTGGAAAAATTCACCAGGACAGAGACAGGCCAAAGAGTTCTTAAAAGGACTATCGCCTAAACTCACCGAGCATCTACTAAGCCTTAATAGGAAAAATACTAGAGTACTAGTAGGTCTAGTAACAGGGCATTTTAGGCTTAACAAACATGTATCCTCAATGAAATATTGGGAACAGGCTACTACTGTGTGCTCGAGAACTGGTCTAATGTAGGATTTATACATCATCAAAACATCTCCTCAGTGATATGACTAAATGACCAACTTATTTAGATACATCGTAGTATTTGCCCTCTTTACTACCTTTTCAACTATGCTGTCCATTTAACGTCTAATGCAATGGTGACTCCTAAGTCATTCTGTTTATCTGTAGCTGCTAGTTGGTTATTGTGGAGACTCTATTCAAGACGGGGCTTATTTGAACCTAGGTGGAGTACACAGCAGGTGGTCCATCTTTTCAAAGTATCTATTTCTTAGTGAGCTGCCCGTGTTGAATTGTGTCATCTGTGAAGTGACTAACTGTGCACGTCATATTTTGGGAGAGATCTGAGATGTATATTATAAATAGTAGAGGCCCGATGACCTATCCTTGGGGAACACCCCTAATCATGAGGCGACTACTTGAATGGCTTTTATTTGTTCTACGGTCGCATTGGAGGCGATCTTAAACCTCACCCCTTTACATTTAATGATAGAGAATGTGGCAAAAAGGACACGATATATGATGATCAGGAACGGAGTAAACAGACGAGAGTCTACTAGCTTCAGGACCAAAGATACTTGGGATATGCCCCAGGATGAAATAAATAAAAAAGTAGTTTTGTGAAAAACTTCAAAACCACAGAGCTGGGCTATTCAGTGGTATACAGATGGTTCCAAAACCATAGAAGGAACTTACATAAATGGTACTCAATAGGTGCCATTTAAAAAGTGATATTTTGGTAAAAACATGTTTAAGAAATTATTTTTTCTGATATTTATTTTTACTTCAATTGGTAAAATATCTTTTGTTTCGAGTTTTTAGAGGATACTAGAACATTATTTTCCAGTTCATGGCCTTCTAACCTTAAAAAAAAATTAAACAAAAAAAAATGATCCATTTAAAAAATTAAACTTATAGCATTTCCGGTAAAACCGGAAGTCGGCCATAAGTATAAGTGTCAATTCGAAATAACGTCTAGTATGTTTGTCTCAAATTTGATCCAAATTAGGCATTCCAAACTGAATGGCTACCAGTGGGTTTTGACGGGTTATGACATGGCAAAATTATGGCAACCCTGTAGGCCTGGTGATTTGGCAAGGTCAACGAAATAGATAGTTACATAGATTGATTATCCATATTTTTCAAAATAAACATAAGCGTATGCCTTGAAGTGAAAATGTAAGCAATTTTTTTTTTTTAATATCTAAAGGCTAAAAATTGGTTTTAAAACACATTTTTGCTAAACCGATTCAAATTAATAAATATTTGCCAGGCAATATGGCTGCTCGCAAACGACCAGCTTTGAGCAATGTATATAACATATATGTATCATTGACCCTGTTAACGACAACATGACAACAGAGTTGCCATATCTAAACTGTCAGTACCCACTGGTAGCCATTTGGACAGGTCGTTGGAATGCCTAATTGCTTCATAAATAAAAGATATATTCTTATTATTATTCTTATTGTCAGTATGCCAACAAAAATTAATATAAATAATCCTTTTTTTAATAAAAAATTATCAAAGTCTGTGCCGTTCTTGAAGGTGCCGAACTAAAAACCTTCATTGACTGGATTACTTCTCTTGATTTATAGTCACATTATTTAAGGTACAAAACTTTAATATTATATACCATTTTTAATATTTACTTTAAATGATACATCATTATAGTCATTGAACAAAAACTGATTATACTTCAGTCATTGATAAAAAACAATTTCAAATGTTATCTTGAGAAATAGTTTAAAATTTTGCCGTTTTATGGTACTTATTTATAGTAATTTAAATTTTATGGCTGTATCTCAACTTTACTCATATCTGTCTTCGTATTAGGGTTTTTTTGTAAATAGTTGTGTCAACAGAAGACTATAATGCCTTAAATATTATACAGTGCTAGGAAGATCAAACTGCTTGTCCTGCGTCTGTTGGAGTGAATAGTAAATGATGTTGGCATATGCAGGATGAAAGAATGTGTTATCGCATTGCAAATGGCAGCATTGATAGTGTCATTTCTGTTCCTGTATGTGTAAGTGCCAATTTTATTCATCACAGCCTAAGCAAAGCAGGACCAAAGGCTTGGTCGTGCCAGTACTGTATATAAATAGAACAAAGGTATTCTAATGAGACTTATTAGTATTAAACAATTTTTGTTGATGCCAACTTTTCAAAACTCATTCTAGTAATAGGACTTCCAGTGTAAATGTACATATTTAATTTTTAGGTATATACGTTCTGGTGCTGTCTTACATAATAAATTCAAATTTTTTTATTCCATAAATTGCTCAGAAATAGGTATTTTGTATGAGCATATAAATCATGATGAAACCTGCCATATAATATGCATTTTGCCAAATTTTATATAGTTCTCAAACCAGTATACTCAGAATTAGCTTTGTCCAATTGTGATAATTTTATTGTGAAACGCATAATTTCAGTGATTTTTTTACATTAAAATTTTATAACTGTGTCTATATTACACAATAGTATGTAGGTATGTGAAAGGTTTTGTTTTTATAGTTTTGTGTCCTTTAAAATTCAACAAGTGAGGTTACTGTATAAGTATTATTGACAACTGAAATATTTAGTCAGAATAATAAATGGTATTTTACTTGTTGAAATTTAAACAGTGCATGTTGCTGACTAGGGAAAAACAGTGAGGTAAGCAAAACCTCTCCATACCTGTTTGAAATAGGTTTTTTTTAAACTTGTGCTCTATTATTTCAAAAACATTAAATAATTCTACAGTTTAAGAGTTTAGAAGAGAAAGTGTATGAAATTTATTTTTTACCAAATACTAATTTTTCAGTCACTGTAATATTTCCACACCAACTTAAAAAAACAGCAATACAATTATTATAAACTTATTAGTAAATGGCCGATTATCAATAGATGATTTTTTATCTCTACCATAAAGGATTATTTATGTTTTTGGATATAATTCTTTTTTTATAACTATAATATATATTTTGAATTTGACAAAACTTAGTATTTCAATATCTAGTCACCATATTTATTTGTACACCTCGGATACACAATAAAAAGTAACTATATAAAACATCTTTTTATTTCCTAATCAAAAATATTCTGACAAATATATTAACAACTATTTCTAAGGCACATTTTAGATCAGTCGTGCTGTCACAGTAAAAAATAAGGGAGGTAATAACATTCATGTTGATAAGTCATTCTTCTAAAATTGGACTATGAAGCTGAAAAAAAAGATACACCTTTAATTTAATATTCAATATTTATAAATTCATGCAACTAAATATTTTTAAACATAGATAAAAGTTACCGCTTCTGCTATGTCCATCCATTGTAAAGCCTGAACTATGCTATCATTATCAGATGGGGCTTTGTCCCAGTTCCAGTAATGTATTTTTGAAAATTTATAGGTAACATAAAATTTTCTTTCACACTTTTCTGTTTCTGGTTTAACACTCTCGTGTAAAACAACACCAACATATCCTTCTGGTAGCCCTAACGGTTTTCCTTTCAAGGGGTATCCTCGAAAAGAAGCACTGGTTTCTGTAAAATATAACAAATGCACAAAAAGTAAAAATTTGAATACAAAGTATTTAATTAAAAACTTCGGTGTAAAAGGAAACAGCTCCACATTTTAAAAACTATCAGGTAACACAAAAAAACTGTGCGAGGTTTCAATTATAAAAAAAATTAAAAACCAATTTATCAAACGATATCTCCATAACATCTGTGCATGAATCATTTTTAAATTTTTACAGCTAAAGTTAAAAAAAATATACTTACGTCCTTTTTCATCAGTTTTGATGTAGTTATTAAAATATTTATTTACATTGGCATCACAATCAGCGTGTATTTTAAATGGAACACTTTGAATATTACTAAGTTTTCTATTATTACAATCTAAATTACTTTTCCCGCTGCGTATATGAATAGTCGCCATTTTTCGATTAAAATTTTTCGGTTAAAATCTTATTCTCTTACAAAATAAGAAACCTTTAACTTTATGGACAAGCCACTCTCATTGATTTGAGACTTCTGATATTATTATCACAGTTCATTATAAAAAGTAGAATCAAAGAAATGACCGTTGTTCTTCTACAGAAAGGATCATTTTATTTTAAATTAGAAGATTCTTCTAAAGTTAGGTTATGTTTCTATCAAGCTTGTAGTGTTGTTCTGCACGTGGTTAAAGTTTTATAAAGTTTTGTTTATTTTATAGTATTTCCTTATTATTATGGGCAAACCAGGTAATTATTTTTTACTAGAATTATTATCAACTATTATTTCAGTCATTTTAATTCAATATTCAGTTGTAACTACATCGGTTTTCTTGTTTCAGAATTTTCTCCAGGAGGCCGAGGTGGATTCGGCGGAGGCAGAGGCGGCGGAAGAGGTGGTGGAAGAGGTGGATTCGGTGATAGAGGCGGCAGAGGTGGATTCGGAGATAGAGGCGGCAGAGGTGGTTTTGGTGGAGGCGGAAGAGGAGGTTTTGGCGGCGGAGGAAGAGGAGGTGGTGGCAGAGGAGGCTTTGACCGTGGAGGTAGAGGAGGTGGTGGTCGGGGAGGCCGTGGAGGTGGTGGCCGAGGAGGCCGTGGTGGAGGCGGTGGGGGTTTCAAAGGAGGCAAAACAGTTGTTATCGAACCTCATAGACATGAAGGAGTTTTTATAGCCAGGGGTAAAGAGGATGCTCTAGTCACACTCAATCTTGTTCCTGGATCAGAAGTTTATGGAGAAAAAAGAATATCTGTAGAGGTACGTTTTTGTTAATTTATTCTTAAAGCATTATTTAATGAAATACAAAATTTTCAGACTGATGGTAACAAAACAGAATACAGAGTTTGGAATCCATTTAGAAGCAAGTTGGCTGCTGCCATATTGGGAGGAGTAGATCAAATACACATGGCACCTGGTACCAAGGTTCTCTACTTAGGAGCTGCATCAGGTACTACAGTCTCACATGTTTCTGATGTAGTAGGACCAGAAGGACTAGTATATGCAGTAGAATTTTCACATAGATCAGGCAGAGATCTGATTAATGTAGCAAAAAAACGTACAAACATCATTCCTATCATAGAAGATGCTAGACATCCACATAAATACAGAATGTTAGTGGGCATGGTAGATACAGTTTTTGCTGATGTAGCGCAGCCTGATCAAGCTAGAATTGTAGCACTAAATTCTCAATATTTCCTTAAGAATGGTGGCCATTTTGTTATATCTATTAAAGCTTCTTGTATTGACTCGACTGCTCAACCTGAGGCTGTATTTGCAGCTGAAGTAAAAAAATTACAAGCTGATAAGTTAAAACCTCAGGAACAAATAACATTAGAACCTTATGAAAGAGACCACGCTGTAGTTGTTGGGGTTTTCAGGCCGCCCCCAAAGAATTAATTTTTGTATTGAATTAAATTTTTGTATTGTCCCATATTGTTTTCAGGATCGGCAATGGTTACTGTTAATAAGAGAATTAAATTGACTTTAATTATTATAACTTAATAGGACAATAGTGTCATCTCTTTTTTTTTAACAATTGTTTTTCTATATAAAATATTTTATCAATATGGACATTGAAATAGTGAATTAAGAAGTGTTTTGTAGAATAAGAAATATTTTTCCTCGACTTGTTTTTTTTTTAATAAAAACTCGTTTAATATTTTTGATTTTTTTATTGATTAAATTATTATTTCTATTATGAAACTATAGTATTTTTAATACAAATCCCGATGCACGTCAGAGATCATTTATGACGTCACGGCCTTGCAGTGTCTCGGGTCCGTATTTTATAAACAAAACTTGAAAGGAAAATCGAATTTCGGTTAAATCATAGATTACTAATGGTTAAATCGCGTGAATTTAGAGATGGGTAGTAACAGATCCGTAAATGTACATAATAGTTACAGATTTGCTAATATCCATCTCTAAATTCCAGTCTAACACCAGAACCAACTAGAACTTTAGAGCCGTTGTAACCGAACTTCGATTTTAGTTCAAGGACGACCTACCCAAGTCCGACTCACGTAAGTTCTGTTTATAAATACGGACCAAAATGTTAAATGTGTCTACGAACCCTTCAAGAAAAAGACAAGCTGTCTGCATAACCGTATTAGAGGACTAAAATATATTTATAAGATTGTAGTTTGAGGCTAATTGTGAAGTACAAAAAGAAGAAGTCACACATGTCATACTGTCACTAGTCAAAGGAAAGGGATTTCTCAGGTTGAGTGTTGAGTCACTTATGTTTTGGTTTCAAGAATATTGTAAATAAATAAGTGTTGTTAATATATAATTTGTGATATTGTTGGTAGCTTATTTATAATGGAAGATAGTGATGATGAAGGTATACTTACGGGCTTTCTATTTGGAAATATTGATGAAGCTGGAAACCTGGAAAGTGATGTTTTTGATTCATCAGAACAAAAACACCTATCTTCTCTTGGAAAGTAAGTACCTTCTCGATTCTTAATTATTTCTATAATAACAATACTAAATGTTTGTTTTTAAAGGTTAGGGTTTGGCTCTTTTGTAAAAGAAATAATAAAAGAACACATTGATAGTAATTCTCAATCATCTTCACAAACAACACTTGAGAGCACTGATTTATTGACTGAGGATTCTCTAAAATCTTCCCAAGAAAGTGGTTATTTCTCTCAGAACAGCATCGGTTCAGAAGATTTCAATTCTGATAAAAAATCACCTTCTGCTGAAGATTTTTTTGATATAAATGAGTTGGCAGAAGATGAAGCAGTTGTAAGTATTTTGTTGCTATAACATTATCTAATTATTTCTAATACCTAACTAGGTTTTCCCACCTAATTAATAGAATTTCTATAATAAAACTATTACTCTTTGATATGAAAACTTTACTGTTATTAGAGATGAACTGAACTCATTTATTTATTTATTTATTTATTTATTTATTTATTTATTTATTTATCAAGGACCAATTGCCCAATTAAAATACAAGTTTAATAAAAGGGAAAATTTAAAACCTAACCTACACTTAGAGAATGTTGAAACAAAGACACAGAAATTACCATAAAATTAACAAACATAAACAAGAAAAAATTAAATTAAATTTAAAAAAAAACAAGATATCAATTGTAAATAAGTTAAATTATCTAGAAATCAAAATATCAGCTGATCTGATTAGCAGATCTACCCAACCTTGATAGAAAATAATTATGTCTGTAGTTAGTCGGATGTTGTCTAATATTGATTTTTCCCAATAGCTCTGGACTAAAGCTAGGATGAGTGCAGTATATTGTAGAATGTGGTAAGATCCTTGTGCATGTGTCTGATCTGTAGAGTGGTAATATTAAGGGAACTCTCAATATTTGAGTAATTAATATCCTTGACTCCACGGTGTTCCTTAAATGAAATAAATCTTAAAAATTTATGCTGAACTCTTTCAATGGCTTGAATATGAACATTGTAGTGATGGATCAGACACATGAACAGTAATCTAAATGGGACCCCACAAGTGAACAAAATAATATTTTAATGGATGATACCTCTAAAAAATCCTTAGCACAACATTTAATAAATCCTAGTATTTGAAGTGATTTTGAGACTGCCATTGATATATGGGGTATGTAAGATTAGTTGGAATCGAGGACTACACCCAAATCTTTAACTTAACTGCAACCTATAAAGTTTTTGTCACTATTTACATTATACAGTACGTCCCTATATTAATATAAACAGTCATAATTTCTATGAAATATATTGCGTAAACTGCAAATGGTACTTCAATTTCAATATTAACTTTTTGATTATGTTCAAGGAATATGTGTGCTTTATTTCACTTAATTTTTTCTTTCTTTTCTCAATATTTAAATATTTTAAGTGTATTGCTATTGTAAATAAAGAAATAAAAATATTTTATACAGGATACTCTTGAATCTTATGATGGAGATAATGGAAGAATTACAAAAAAAGATGAACAGTTGATGCCTCCTCCACCAGGTTTACCTGTTAATAGGGAATTAAAAGAATCAGATTCTCAACAACTTTGTGATGCAGATAAAAAGAGATTGGAGACACCTTTGGCTGCTATGTTACCATCTAAATATGCCAATATTGATGTTACTGAATTATTTCCAGATTTTAGACATGGAAAAGTACGTTTTTAGTTTACATAATACAATTTTCTCTCATACAGTGTAATTCTTTTTGAGAGTATAAGAAGAGGTTTTCATTTTAGGTACTAAGATTTTCGAGACTGTTTGGTCCAGGAAAACCAAGTAGTTTGCCCAATATTTGGAAGAATGTAAGAAAGAAGAGAAAGAAACGTAAACACAAGGAAAGTGTTAATCAGCATGATACAGACTCGAATTCTGATGAAGAAAGACCTAAAAATAGAGGTTGGTACTTTGATTATGCTGAACCGAAACCTGAAATGATCTTGGCAGATGATGAGGTGAGTACATTTTAAATAAATAAATAAAATTTTAATGCAAACAAATATATATTTTTTAGGAAAAGTTTTTGAAACCAGCTGAAGTTCAAAATGAAGATAATAAACCTGACAATGAGAAAAAAGATGATTCTGGACCTAAAGCTGCTGATTGGCGCTTTGGACCAGCACAAATTTGGTATGATATGCTTGAAGTTCCTGAGACTGGTGATGGTTTCAATTATGGTTTTAAAGTTGCTGAGGAAAAATCTGAAGTAAGTAAACAAAATTGTTTAACAGATGTGATTTCTAGAAGTTTTTTTTTTAATTTTTAGGTAAAGGAAGATAATAAAGAAAACCAAGATGAAGGATTTCCAGATGATGCATTTTTAATGGTAACTCAGCTACACTGGGAAGACGATGTTGTATGGGATGGAAATGATATCAAACATAAGGTAATAGTGCATTTTTATAATCAATTCTTGTATATTGAAAATATATTTTTTAATTAGCCACCCTTACATCCGATTGATTTGCAGGTGCAACAAAAGTTAAGTTCCAAAACAAACGCTGCAGGATGGGTGCCGAGCAGCGGCAATAGGACTGCCCAGGCTTTCAGCCAACCTGGAAAAGCAGGAACAACAGTTAGAATGCCCCCGGTACCAAATCCACCATTGCCTGGTTTAAAATCGAAGCAACAGTTGTAAGTATACTAATCCTAAATGTACTACCTTTAGATATAAACTATGTAACAATATTTGGGCCCTCTACCCCATAAGCCTGCCCCTGTAAAAATAATTGGTCCTCTTATCCATTATGCATGCTCATGTGAAAATATTTGGGCCCTCTGACCCTTAAACCTGCCTACTTAAAAATATTTTTTCTTTTTACTCTTTACCCCTACCCATATAATATTTGACCCATTTATACCTTAAGCCTGTCTCTTATACCTTAAACCTGTCCCTTTATCTCTTAAGCATGCTGATGTAAAAATATTTGGGACCCCCAATCCTTAAGCCTGCGCACATGTAATTATATTTAGTCCTTTTACCTCTTATGCCTGACCATGTAAAAATATTTGATCCCTTTAGCCCTTAAGCCAGACCATTTCAAAATATTTGGTCTCTATACCACTTATGCCCTTCCATGTACAAATATTTGGGTCATTTACACTTTAAACTTGCCCATGTAAAAATGTTTCTGTTCGGAGAATTAAAATTTTGTTTCCAAATGCCCATTTTTACATTTTAATCCCTTCTATGTGTGTATTGAAAAAAGAGCAATTGAACAACTAGAATGAAGATATATAATGCTTGGCATTCTATATTATACTCTCCACAGTTTAACAGACCCCCTCAACCCCCATTTTCAATCAGATTTTTTTCAGAATCAATATGCTTCATTCACTTATAAATCTTGATTTTATTGAAGATTTCAATTTGATCGTTTTTTTGTTTCTGATTTAGGATTTTTTCAATATTTCAACCCCCTTATATCCCCATTTTTATTCACATTTTTTCAGAATAAATAGGCTTCATTCCTTTATAGAGCTTGATTTTTACTAAAAATTTCATGTTGATATCACTTTTGGTGTTTGATTTCTATTTTTTTTTTTAATTTCAAACCCCCTTAACCCCTCATTTTGTCAACTTTTTTTTTAAACAATAGGCTTTGTACCCTTATAGAGCTTGATTTTTGCTAAAAAATCATGTTAATATTGCTTTTCATTTTTGATTTAGGATTTTTTTGAATTTTAATCCCCCTTAAACCCCCATTCTTATTATATATTTTTTTAAATCAAAAGCTTTTTCCCCTTATTTTTGCCAAAAATTTCAAGTTACTATATATTTTTCATTTTTGAGTTAGGACCTCAACCCCCATTTTAATTCGGATTTTTTTCAGAATCAATAGACTTGACCTTATAGAGCTTGATTTTTACTAAATATTTCATGTTGATGTCGAATTTTATTTTTGATTTATGATTTTTTATTTAATTTTAACCCCCAACTCTCACATTTTTATTCAGATTTCTTCAAAATCAATAGGCTTTGTCCCATTGTAGAGCTTGATTTTTCCTTAAATTTGCAAGTTGATATAATTTTTTATTTTTGACCTGTTTTGTGGGCATTGGACGGATAATAATAATAATAATAATAATAATATTAATAATAATAATAATAAACGTCTTTATTTTAATAAGCCTCGGCGGAGTCCAGCATAGCTGTTCCACTCAACTGAATACCAAATACAAACATTTCATATAATACATATATACATTGTTATTTAGATTTAAATTATTTAATATACATTTTATATAGACACATGCAATAAGAAAATTAACAATACATAAACACAAACTTTAAAACAAAAGAAATTTTTTCACTAATTTTTTAAAGATTTTTAGAGATTTATTTTTACATTGATCAGGATGTTTGAAGAGTTTAATAATTTGGTGTTCATTCTTAATTTTAAAAATTCTGGATAATGCATGAACTGTTAAAAAGAGGGTGTAAGAAAATGTTTTCGTCGGTGTAAATGCAATACTAAGATCCCATAGGTGTGGGGCTCAGTAATTTAAGTTCTATTCTACTAAATGCTACAACGTTAAATTTTTTATCTAGATTGAAGCCTAGACAGGAACAGGAACAAGATGATACTTGGTATTCTATATTTCCTGTTGAAAACGAGGACTTAGTTTATGGAAGATGGGAAGATGATGTGATTTGGGATGCTGAGAATATCAAAACTATTCCAAAACCCTCAATTTTAACATTAGATCCTAATGATGAGAATATCATTTTGGGTATCCCTGATGATATTGATCCTTCAAAACAAATCTTAGGTAAGTTTTAGTGCTAGAATTCATAGGACTAAATTGGAAAGCTTCAAATATACTGATAATGTTACTGATAATTTGCAATTATTTTATTTTAGGACAAGCTACACCAGTCAAAGTAAAAATTCCACACCCACACGTTAAAAAGTCTAAAATTCTATTAGGAAAAGCAGGTGTTATTAATGTTTTGCAAGAGGATACTCCACCTCCACCGCCAAAATCCCCTGACAGAGATCCATTCAACATTTCCAATGATATGTAAGTAATGCTTATTTATAGATATTCGATACTCTAACTCTACTGTAGCAAATCAGACAGAATTAGTTGGTCTGAACACAAAATTAAACAATGTCAAATAAGTTGCGTTATTGCAGAAATGTTAACAAATCTTAAGGATTTCCGCCAAATTTGAAATCATTATATTTGTAGATGTTAAGAATCAATGTGTCTATTCATTAAAAATTAATAGTAGAACTGATGAAATACCCTTAACATAGTTAAAATTTAGGTAGATAAAAAGTGAAGTTCTGTCATATCTTAAATAATTCTTTCAAAGAAGGAATATTTTCAAATCGATTGAAACAAGGACTCATTAAACCTGTTTAAATAAGTGTTGATCCAAAATTTCTATAAAATCGTTGAGTTAGCAGTGTGTATTCTAGACTAAAATTTCCTAAATAAAAATATTTTTTTCACTAGAATGCTGCATGTTTACTTAAAAAAATAGATCCACAAAAACAGCCATTTTTCAGTTTATTAAAGATATTTCAGACATTATAGAAAACAACAATTTAGCAAAGTTTTCAATACTTTCATGCCCTATTCTAAATTGTGTTGAATAAATCATTTAGATGAATTATGAATAAGATAGGCCCTATTACATTTCCTTGAGGTATTCCAGTTTTATTTATTAAAATAGTAGATTTTCCACTATCCCCTATTTGGTCGCAAGTAATTCTGAATCAGTAATATCTATTACATTTCCTTGAGGTATTCCAGTTTTATTTATTAAAATAGTAGATTTTCCACTATCCCCTATTTGGTCGCAAGTAATTCTGAATCAGTAATATCTTCTAAAGTATTCATTTGAATGATATAGTGTAAAAGACAGCTTAAATCTATAATGCACAACATGAATAAGAATTAATAATAAATAGAAGAAAATAAACTATCGTTTTTTCCTAATCTATAATACATAAAAATAGTTATTATGAGTGTACCTTAGGATATAGCCACATGCTCTCTGGGACTTTTCTATAGACTTTTTTAAGACCTACAATTTTCTAGTATAATGTTTTGTTGTATCTCTTAAGATTTTGCCAGCTTTTGCCATGTAAGCATACCAAGATTAAAATAATTAAATAACTGTGCCTGAAATATTGTCAAACTCTATTGGACATTCATTATAATGACGTGTCTATCTTTAAGGATTTACATGTGGGTAAATTAAATCTGCTAATATGTATTTTAACATATCCAGTTGTCAACATTTTTTAGATATTATCAACCAAGAACCTCCGAAACAACATTGCGGCTCAAAGTGGGCGGCGCAAATTTGATCCAGCACTCTACCCCCGTTGTAGAGTTAAGAGCGCCTTTTATCCAGACCCACATGGGTCAGATGAGATTAAGAAACTTCCATAGGCCGCCGATAAAAAGATTTTCTCATGGCGCTCTCGCTCAACCAGGTCCACACAGTGTAATGCCTCTGATAAAGCACATAAAGAAAAAATCAAAGGTAAACAATAATAAAATCAATAACGATCTGTATTACTGATAGAATTTTAATAAATATGATTATTTTTTTTTAGCAAAGAGAAGCTGAAAGAATGGCTTCAGGAGGCGGTGACGTGTTTTTCATGAGAGCACCTGAAGATTTAACTGGAAGAGACGGGGATTTGATTCTAGTTGAATTTTGTGAGGAGCATCCGCCTTTGATGAACCAGGTACATATTTTTTTTATAGATATAATTGTTTATTTTCAATTTATTACAAATTTCTTAATTTTTTTACAACTTTCTTATATATTTCTTACAAATTTCTTACAAATTTCTTACAAATTTCTTACAAATTTCTTACAAATTTCTTACAAATTTCTTACAAATTTCTTACAAATTTCTTACAAATTTCTTACAAATTTCTTACAAATTTCTTACAAATTTCTTACAAATTTCTTGCAAATTTCTTGCAAATTTCTTACAAATTTCTTACAAATTTCTTACAAATTTCATACAAATTCCATACAAATTTCATACAAATTTCATACAAATTTCATACAAATTTCTTACACATTTCTTAAATATTTCTTACACATAATTGGGAATTGAAATTTTACATACCTAATTGAAATAATAACTAGAATGAAAATATATAATGCTTGGCACTCTTCACAGTTTAACAAATCCCCTTAACCCCCATTTTCAATCAGTTTTTTTTTCAGAATCAATAGGTTTCTTCCACTTATAAAGCATGATTTTTCGTAAAGATTTCAATTTGATATCGATTTTGTTTCTGAGTTAGGATTTTTCAATATTTCAACCCCGCTTTATCTTCCCATTTTAATTAATTTATTTATTCATTCCCTTATAGGGACCGTGCGTTAGCTCTCTCTAGTGTTTAATTTTAGAATTAAATGGGGTAAACATTGCAAGTAAATAAATAATTATGAGACACCCAATGATATACATGATTATATAGATTGCTCATCCATCTGTAAATAAGATTACGAAAAGCGGGTTGCAATGCGCGCTGCTATATTGCCTTTCCCAGTGCCCACTGAATAGAGCTGTTCTAATTCAAATGTGCTTTTGAATAAAATTTCAGCATTTGAATCTTAAGAAAAAAGAAAATAATTTAATTTTTACTTCAAGACACGATATTATGTTAGGTATTTTGAAAGTTGAGTTTCAATGTAATTAAGTAATAACGAATGTAACAAAAGTTTTCGAAAACAATATTAATGAACGATTTAAAGAAAATGGTAAAATGTATTCAAATATTATTTTTAATAGCATTTTCCTTAATAGCTACTTAAAAATAAATACAATTTAAATTAAATTTAAAGGCCCATGGTCTTCAATGGTACGCAATTTCCAATTAACTTGCCGCATCATATTCTGGATGGTAATATTGTCTATTTCGCGAATTTTTTGAAATATTCGCCGTCGTAACTGTTGTTCATTTTCGGCTTCCCAACCATTATCGTAAACCTTTCTACTTAATATTACCCAAAAATCTTCAATTGGACGACCCTGCATTTTTAGGGTTGTCGTTTTTGGGCACCAATGGGATGTTGTGTGTCTCTAACCAATTTCTTGTTGTTCTAGAGTAGTGACAAGATGCTAGATCGGGCCAAAATATAATGTCATCGTTAGGGTGATGTAAAATCAACCAATTTCGGAAGGCATCGCTCAGTATAAATATTTAAATCCAGTGCCTCACCCCTCACGCATCCAACATAAGGCCTTGAAATGTCCATCGTTGATATGGCACACCAGACTAAAACCTTGTCCTCAAATTTGATTTATATTTCACGTTATTGGGGCAATTTTCTATATCATCTATATAAAATCCGTCATTACCTTTAATTTCCGAATGCGACAATGTGAAATATTTTTCGTCATCCATGATCACAACTGGCTGTGAAGTGGTGTCTTCTTAATACACGGCAACATATTGGGATTCTGCGCAGCTGTTCTTCAGTGTATTTAGGGCATTTATTCAGTTTTCGATACTTAAGTCCCTTTCTACTTAGTTCTCGACTAATGGTCATGTGACTTACCACCTAATTTTCGAGTCGATTTTCCCAATTGGTCTTTTGCGGCTTCAACCAATCTATTTGACTGGGCAATAGTCAAAGCTTTAGACCATCCGATTTTTGGAAGGTTTACACATGGTATACATTATTCTCATTCTGCTATAGTTTTATTATAAATGGTCGAAATTGCGACATCTTGACGTCTAAATATATTATAATTTCACGTTTTGGCAACCGTCCAACTAAATTGTACACAGATTTTCGGATATCCAGTTTGTACGACATAACTCTTTTAATATTTGACAAATATGATATGACATATTGAAGTTTGAATGTTATCTAATTTTTGTTTCCAATGGCAACTAGATTCGAAATTATTTAGGCATAATTGTCAGACCATAAACTTTTTCCGAAAACTTTTGTTACATACGTTATTAGGAGATCTAAACAATTTTTATAACAGAGGGATGTAAATAATTTTTTCTATTTTTGACATATAAAGTCACATTTTTTGTAATTGCAGCAAGTTTTAAAATGAACTATGAACATTATGAAACTGGTTTCGAAAAATTCTTTACGTCACAGGTTGCGAAAAGAAAAATAAAAATAAACTTTTATTGGTTTTAAAATCAATAATATACATTATTATTTATATCAAAGGACAGGTTGACTTATAAAAAAATAATTTAGTTAAACCTAGTAATAATGTTCTTTTGGTCCTTATTTTCCAGTTCAAATTAGCACAAAATAATTAAAACACAATACACGACAAAATAACCCACTTTTTTGAAAACTCTTTAATAAAGAATATAAACACACTGCAAGTCGTTGAGCTTAAATAATTAATAATGATGTTCTAATCGTGGTTCTAATTGCCAATAAAATGATACAGATGCAACTAGCAATACAAGAAAGTAATATTGGTTGCCTAAATGACAATAATGTTTAACAAAAACACAATTTTGGTCAAAATTAGAAAAAATATTGTATGTTCATGTTGCGATCTCGCTCTGCTCGTCCCGCAAATCTTCACTCGTTACATAAAATAGCTATTAAACCAATCTCGTTTCAGAAATAACACTATATAAAACACATAATTGCAAAATGTAATGCAAATTTAAAAAGGTATGTAAACAACTTTGATATGAAATATAAACAACTTTGGTAAGATATGTAATTGGACACTTATCTATTATTCTGAGTAATGTTTAATGGTAACGTTACTAAAATTTCACAAAAAATCAGTAGATTTTTAATATTTTAAAGTTTGTTAAAATCTCTTTTGACAGTGAATGCAATGCCTTAATTATGGTTTGTTTATTTTAGTGATAAATGAGAATTAGTTAAATAATAATAAATAGGACCGTGATATTTTTGTCAAATTGGACATTCTAATTTCATAGTAACATCCTACATTAGTTTTAATTAACAAAATAAACCATTGACTATCTGTAAAATTATATTTATATAAAATGTACATTTAAATATGTAAAAATTTTAATGGCAAGAAAACACTAAAGATTCTAATTTCTAAACCGGTTCTGTACATGAATTGTTTACAACTGAGTGCTCAAAATTAATACAAAACATGTATTAGATAAATAGAAAACTTCGCCCAGTGAAATATGCTTTTCGTTGTCTTATTTACATATGGATAAGCAATCTCTGTGTGAGACACCAAGTGTGCTCTGTGGAGATTTATAAAATTTCTTTACTAACGAATCAAATCCACGATTCCGAAGTGATGTGTTTGTATATCCACGGATGCAACAAGTTTTTTCGATAATGATATTACGAAAATAATTCGAATTTATTAAAATAATAATTACCAAACAATCAATGACGTATAAAACTTTAATAATAAATCACCCCCATAAGGTTCACATTTTTTTCACCAGTTGGTGTTAAAGTCATGATTTTTACTAAACATTTCATGATGATATCGCTTTGGTTTTTTTTTTTTAATTCAACCTTCCTTGGCCCCATTTTATTCATTTTTTTTTAATCAGTAGGCTTTGTCTCGTAGAGCTTGATTTTTGTCAAAAATTTCAAATTGATATTTATGTTCGTTTTTGAGTTTTTTTGTATATTTCAACCCCCTTAACCCCCCAATTTTAATCAGATTTTTTTTAAATCAATAGACTGTCTCTTTATAGAACTTGATTTTTGCTGAAAATTAAGTTGTTTTTCGTTTTTAATTTATGATTTTTTTTTAAATTTTAACCTTCCTTAACACCCCCATTTTTAACCAGATTTTTTCACAAAATCAATAGGCGTCGTATCCTTATAGAGATTGATTTTTCCTGAAAATTTTAAGTTCATATCATTTTCCGATTTTGACTTATCGTGACGACGGACATTTTTAAAAGTTGTTTAAAATTTGATGAGAAGGATTTGTAAATTTGGATGAATATTAAAAATTTTGAGTTTCTTGAAAGTAAACCTATAATACTCTTCACAGGCTACTGTGTGAAGAGTATAATAATAATAAAAAAATAAGAATTGACAAGATTTATAGGTCAATTCATGATAAAAAGTATAGAATGCAGAAAAGTATAATAAAATAGTAAAAATAAAAAATGAAAATCCTGCAGAGTTAAGCACCCAAGTGATTGAAAACTTGTTTGTTCCACTCTAAATGATCTATTTATGGTTAAATAATTGAATATGTAGGAGTAAATAAAGAGTAATTTACTTTTACATTTTTTGATGATGGCAGATCTTAATTTAGTAATTCTCAAATTTGTAATTACAATTTTGAAATTAGCAGAGTTAATTTTGGTATTGATGTCTTCTCTAGTTTGTGTTGGATCTTGATTATTCTTTTATTTAGTTATTACATCTGGAACATTTTGAGGTGTATTGGTGTGCTGTAAATTATCTTTCTATTTTTTCTCTCAATCTTTGATCCTTTTTTGCAACAATTTTATTATTTCATTTTTATTGTTTATAATTTCATCTTTATCCGCGAATTATAGTTTCTCTATCTTCAATTTTACTCTTAAATAATGGATGTGACATGATTTACAATTAATTAAATTGCAGTAAACGTTTTAGTAAAGGCAGGAACTTTATTTCAGAAGAAGATATATTAAATTTCTGCAGTTTACATAATAGTATTATTTATTATTTCATAACTTAATTGTGTTTTTAGGTTGGAATGTGCTCTAAGATTAAGAATTATTATAAAAGGAAAGCTGCTAAAGATTCTGGTCCCCCATCTTATAGGTACGGAGAGACGGCATATGCACACACTTCTCCATTTTTAGGTATTTTGCATCCGGGTCAGTCTATACAAGCAGTAGAAAATAATATGTACAGGTAAAAAAATATACAATATATTAAAATTCTACATTAAAAAAAAAGATCATATTTTGATACATTTATGATTTTAAATACAATTGAAATTTTTCTTTTCAATTAATGAAAATTAATATTCTTCGATTTTTTAAAAAATATGTCACACGTTGGCAAGCGTCATTTTAATTTAATTTATTGAAATTGTAAATAGTCAATAACTATCTTACCAAATTTTGTAGTTGTTATCTCTAATTTAAAATTTTCAATTTTAGTTTTATATTCATTATTTTCTTGTTTAATAAACTGATATACAGGGTGGGACACCGGTAACGCCTCGGTCTGTAGGAAATGTCTCTAGGGAATGGTTGACTCAAATTAAAGTATAATTAGGGTACTTTTGAATGATAATATAAAAAAATTAAAAAAAAAAAAAATGAAAAAATTATGTATTTGAATTTTGTTTTTAATTAAAAAAAAAAAAATTGTTGACTAACCACCAAATATATTTTAACATGAAAAAATTGGTTCGCAATTGTTTCTTTTGCAGTATACAGGTCATCGAAATTAATACGATTTTTATATAAAACTGGGCATGTGAAATAGCTTGTATAATTCCATACTCTTTGGTATTGATATAATGGGAAAAGTGAGGGTAATCCAAATATAAAATAAAAACCTAACTTTGATATGTATCACTTTTTTTAAGAAACAAATCAAATAGGGATCTGCAGACTGAGGCCTTACCGATGGTCCACCCTGTATAGGCTAGTTTACTGTCACTCAACATGATATTGTAAAGGTTTTCTCAATAAATATTCATTGAATACATTGTCACGAAAAATATACAATTTCAATATTTGGTAAAAATGCTTACCTTTTTACGCTCTATGTAGTGGACTAAATCTCAGTTTTTGATCATCTTCATAGATGGGTAAATTTGGGGGGGGGGGCTTAGGATAAAATTGCCCTAAGTTTTTTGTGTTGCCAGTTTTTAACATTTTTGACTAAAAAATTTGGGAAACCAATGTTTTCTTTACAATAAAGCTACTCTTGCTGCATCTTGCTAGGTCGCACCATTTTCAAGAAAAAAGCATTTGAAAATTTCATGAAAAGTTTATATTATCTTATTCGAAAGTGCAAACAATAATTAGCAGGCCCGTGAAATCATAAATTTTTTTTTCAGCTTTGAAAAATCTGTGACTAAAGAAATTTATTTAGCTTTAATTGTTTTTTAAATGTTTATTTTATAAACTTTAAATGGCAAAACTAAATAGTATTTAAACTTAAACTAATCAGTTATTTTTTTTAATGGTTTGGTTGGCTTTGGCCCAATAAAATGATTGATGAGAATTTATTTCTCTAACTGCCGACGTTTAAACTCTTTTAAGGTAATCCTTAGGATGGTAAAAATAAGTCAGATACGTTAAACATCGTAAAATTATAGCGAAACTGTATTTGAAATTAGGAATAGCGTTAGAGAAGAAACTTACTTTTAATTATTTCAATGCTGTTTGATAATAATTTTAAGCTTTTTAACGTGAAGTATCTACTTTTATTGTCCTGAGGATGACTTAAAATGGGTCAAAATGACGACGATAAACAAATAATTCTCAAAAATTGTTTTTATCGATACTTCTAAAAATTCTACCAAAAATAACAAAAATACTACTAAAAATAACAAAAATTCTACTAAAAATATCAATTTATACAACAGTTAAATTAAGTGTTCAAAAACGTTGCCTTGCTGACGGAGGCACATTTCGGCTCTACGGGTAATTGCATGTGAAGCTCGATTAACTTCAAAATTATTTTGCCGTATTCCATTCCCTGCCAAACGTATCCTTTCACGCAACTCTTCCTCACTGTCAACTTCTGTAGCGTATACCATATCTTTTATACGACCCCAAAAATAATAATAATCTAATGGGTTTAAATCCGGATATCGAGGTGGCCACAGTATGGGACCACCTCTTTCTATCCATCTACCCGGAAATCTTTCATTTAGCCAATTTCTCACATTAACGCCATAATGGGCTGGCGCTCCGTCGTGCTGAAAGTGCAGCTGATGTCGAATATTTAATGGGAGATTATCCAAAATGGGTTCATGGTGGATTTGTAAAAAATTCAGATACTCAATTGCATTTAACTGAGCAGGAATTTCAATCGACCCAATTAATCTGTCATTGATTATTGCCGCCCAAACATTAATAGAAAATCTATCTTGAAAAAATCAACGTCGCACCACTCGAGGATTTTCTTGTGAATAAAAATGATTGTGAATATTAAAAACACCATCTCTATTAAATGTAGCTTCGCTCCACATAATAAAAAGAAGGAGTTCCTGATGGTTTCTTATCCATTCACTAAATTCCATTCGTGGTAAAAAGTCGTGGGGTCTTAAGGCTTGAACACGCTGATAATGATAGGGATGAATACCCTGCATTCTTAACATTCTTCCAACCTAAATGAACACATTTTTAAAAGACACGTAAACTAAAGTAAGAATTTAAAAATGCCTTTAATCTGAAACTTGTTTGTGTTATTTTACTTGCAAATTTAAGCAATAAAAACTAAGAATCATAAAATAGTATAAAGAAAAAGGGAAGTAATTATTACTTACTATTACTCGTGGTATTTCTGAAAGTGTGGAAACAGTTCGAATACTCCTTCTTGGGTCCTCTTCAAATAAATTAAGAGCGTGTTCCAAATTGTTGTTTCCATGTGGTTTCCTTTGTCCACGATCACGTCGAAATGAACCATGGTCAACCAAATTTCTGTGTGTATTAATAAATACGCGGTAGTCAGGTATTCTTCGGTTAGGAAACCATCTACGGTATGCTTGTACCGCTGCTCTTGCCCTTCTCTATTTGAAAATCTCCATTTATTAGAAGTATTTTTCTTTCACGCAAAAAAAGTACAAATAATTACACAATTGACAGCCAATATTTGTTAATCATAGCGTCTCAAAAAATTGAAAAGCAGCTATTGGATTCCAGGCCTACTAATTTTTGTTTGCACTTTCGAATAAGATAATATGAACTTATCATGAAATTTTCAAATGCTTTTCTCTTGAAAATGGTGCGTCCTAGCGAGATGCAGCAAGAGTAGCTTTATTGTAAAGAAAATATTGGGTTTCCAAATTTTTTAGTCAAAAATGTTAAAAACTGACAACAAAAAAAACTTAGGACAATTTTACCTTAAGCCCCCCCCTAATTTACCCATCTATGAATATGATCAAAAACTGGGATTTAGTCCATTACATAGAGCGTAAAAAGGTAAGCAGTTGTACCAAATTTCACTTAGTTATCTTTAAATGTTTAGAAAATATTTACAAAAGTGTGTCATCAGGACTTCACTTTTAACACCCTGTATCTTGGAAAAGAAACGTTTTCTGACCTATGTTTATATGAATTTTAACTCCTATTTTAGGATGTAGATTACGCTGTTAAAATATGACCGTCTAATTTCGGGACACCCTGTATAGATTCCATCACTTTCTAACATTTTAAAAACATGACAAATATTATAAGAGTGATTCTTAAGCCATATTCGAGCGGTATACTGGTTTAAATATATTTCATGCGGTTCGAAACAGGTTTGAACTATTCCCATTCGAGTGACCAAACAATGACGTCACGTTGAAATAGGTTTAAACCAGCTGCATCTGTTTTTGAAACGTTTCATTGAGAATGGTTCAAGGAAATAGAAATGTCATTGATGTCAAAAATAGTAGCGTAGCTCATGCATTAAAATTAATTATCAAAAAGGATTTTTTATATTACATTTATAAGGAAAAATAGAAAATGCATAATTATGAAGGTTTATATTTTTTAGTAATTTTTGAAAACTTGTAATTCTAAATAACTGGTTAAAGTCGGATTCTAAATATAACGATCCATTTTTCATAAAACTCTGGTATATGAGCTTTTTTTGAAGCAAAAAATTATCTGTCGCTAGAGGTTTAGACACTCACAAATCCTTAACTGTTAGTGACATCACTGTTTTAAAATTATCTATTTGAGCGTTTTCAAAATTTATGACGTAGTAATAAAACTGGTTCTAAAAGTTGTTGAAAATATTTTTAAACCAAAGAGACCACTCGAATATGGCTTTAGATTGATATTAAGAATATGATAGATCTTCTTTTTATTTTTTTTTTGTGGTCTTCACCTTGTGGACACATAAATCCCACTTTTTATCATTAATAATTTAGCAAGTTTTCCTTCTTTATTTTTAATCAGATTTACGACTTTCAGTTATATGTGACTAATTCGTACTACATTTTTAATTTATTGGTTGTACAATTTTATAACCTTGATTTTTTGACGTTTTAGAAAAAGTCCAATTTACTATTGTACTCTCAAAATCAATCTAGCCCCTTCAAGAGTACCGTTCAGATCCGGTGTTAAACTATAGATTCAACATGGCTATCTTATTGGAGATAAATTTGCATGTTTTTTTTGTCAAAGTGACAAGTTATTATTAAATTTATTTTATTAATATAAATAAACAATAATTATTTAAACAAATAAGTTAAAATGTTAAAAATGTTTATAATTATTTCCTTGCAGAATATGTAGGGTTTATTTTGTCACTGTCGTCATCAAAATTAATAATTTTGTTTGTTACACAACGATTTTGCTGAGTTTAGGAAAATATGCAATATGTTCCAGGCTGAGCTAATAGCCATACAACACTCTGCAAGAGAAATATTAAATCGGCAAGTATCAGGTAAACTATTGCCATATACTCTGATAGCCAAGCAGCTTTAAAGGCAATTCTCTCACCAGAAATCAAATCACGACTGGTGAAAGACTGTCTAGAAGACCTGGCAGAGCTAAGTAGTCAAAATAAGGTGACCCTAGCCTGAGTTCCAGGCCATGAGGGATATCAGGGCAACGAAAAGGCCGACGAATTAGCCCGAGAAGGATCAGATAAGGTCATGACAGGCCCCGAACCCTTCTGTGGAGTTGCTAAGGCATTGTGCAAGGCATCCATTAAACAATGGATGCAAAAAGAGTCTCAGGAATGGTGGAACAACTATCCAAGACTGAGACAGGCCAAACAGTTCATCAAGGAACCATCGGCCAAGTTCACGAAGGACCTATTGGATCAAAAGCGTCAAACCGTTAGGATAACAGTAGGCCTTCTTACTGGACACTGTCGGCTTTAAATGCACATGAGTGTCATGAATCCAGCAGAAGAAGCAACTTTGTGCAGGTTCTGTGAAGAAGAAGAGGAAACATCATTCCATCTCCTGTACCAATGTGAAGGCCTGGCTGGAATGAGGTTTCTAACCTTGGACGAAGAAAAGCCAAATGCATGCAACTACATGCGGGAGCCACTGTCAAAGCTACTAAGGACCATTCGCACCGCTAGTAGTTAAGAAATAAGCGAAGCTTAAAATGACATTGTCAATGAGGAAATGTTATTTTAAGCTTGGCTTATTTCTTAACGACCAGTGGTGCAAATGGACCTAAGTCTAATAAAAAAGACCAGGCTAGACGACATACTCTAAAACAAATGGAGTCCCACAATAGATCTGAAATGTTCGCGGTGGACAAGGACAAATAACGCCCAACTCCTAATCTAATCATTTCAGTATTCATGTTGTTATAAATTAAATTGAAATTTCAATAAAAAAAAAATGTAGCAGGATAACAATAAGTAGATTAAATCTTAGACTTAGGTATCGCCTACATTTGTGTTCTATCGTTTTCTAGTCATGTAAAAAATCTAGTTAATGCTGCAATAGAATGCTGGGGTTCATAATTAGGCAAACTAGAAATTTTACTAACAGAATCTATAAAAATTCTTTATTATGCTCTAGTTAGACAAAAACTTGAATTTGGAGCTGAGGTATGGATGGGGGAATATCCAACTAATCTATGAGATTGAAAAAATACAAAATAAATTTCTTACATATATTTATTTTAAAAACTCCATATATACCCAGACTACAATCTTGTTATAACTGCAAACTTAAGAAAATAATTTAAAATATTTCCCCTTCACACTAGAAGGAATATGATAATGTTGACTTTTTTATATAAAGTGATATAAATACCCCAACCTCTGACAAAAGAGTATCGCATTTTTAGTTACAGTTTGCACATGTCTTCTTATTTCAGTTGCGTTTTGTTTTTGCTTAGCAGCGTAAACTTTATTAAGGTGCGTTTACACCAATACAAGAAGTCACTTTGAAAAAATTAAGATTACGTTATACATTTTGTCTACTTATACTAGAGCAATTTACTTTCGTACTTTATAAATAAATTTTCCAGCTGAACATTGGTTTTAGCGTTTTTAGAGTTTTTAAAGATAATCCAAAACAGGTGCAAATTCGTGAAACAGATTCTTTGTTAAAAAAATATATTATAACAAAAGGCACAGAAAATATTTATTGGATAACTCATATAAATTTTTTTAATCAATATCATTTTCTTCACAACTGGACTCTGATTCAGACTCATCACTACTTGCCGTTGTACCTAAATTAATAATAAATTGGTGTGTAGCTTCAATGCTATGAAATTCCTCAAAAGTTTGGAATCTAGAAAAAAATCAGTTGTCTTGGTTTTGGCTAAACGCTACACACTGGACGATCTGTAACAAATAAAATTAATTTTTTAGGGCTCCGATCTATGAACACATAACGCCAGAAACAGATTTTCTAATAATAAGAACTCGCCAACAGTATTACATCAGAGAAGTTGATGCGCTGTACGTAGCAGGTCAACAGTGCCCTTTATATGAAGTTCCAGGCCCAAATTCCAAAAGAGCAAACAATTTCGTCAGAGATTTCCTACAGGTACCAAATTAAAATTGTTATAACATACGTAAAATGATAACGTTGTTTTTTAATAGGTATTTATCTATCGGTTATTTTGGAGAAGCAGAGACAATCCGAGAAGAATTAAAATGGACGACATAAAAAAGGCATTCCCATCTCACTCTGAAAGCAGCATCAGAAAGAGACTCAAACTCTGTGCTGACTTTAAAAGAACAGGTAATGGTAATAACGCGAAATCCCTAGGAGTTCCAATATTAATTTTAAATTTTTTAACAGGTATGGATTCCAATTGGTGGGTGATTAAACCGGAATTTCGTCTCCCAACGGAAGAAGAAATTCGAGCAATGGTTTCGCCAGAACAATGCTGTGCATACTTTAGCATGGTAGCTGCTGAACAACGTTTGAAGGTAATGTATAATATTTATTTAAATACATTTTATTTTATTTATCATAATATAATCCTTACAGTTAGACAATTTATTAATATCTCTACTATTTGATACAAATGTTCAAATTAAATTATTTTTACATCTAAATACATAAGGTGGGTTCGGTCTGGAATTGGAGTAGTACAGGAGCTGATTTTTTTTGGGATGTTTTTAACTGTCACTTGAGCATGTTGAACTGTCACTAATCAGAATAAACGAACGCTAATAGGGTCGTCTGAAGTTAAATTGTAATAGAATTAGCTTTCACACTTTTACAATACGTAAAAACAAAAACAAAAGTAACGCAATGAACATTCTTCATATTGCTAAATTAACGATGTATGACCCATCGTTTAGTACTTTTCTATTTAAATTTTATTGGTTAGAGTGACGGAGGGGAGAGAATGACGTATGAAAGAAAGATGTCGCACTTAGAATAAAAATCGACCAGTATTTGAGTTTTATTTTAAATAAAATCCTTAAAAATATTCTAAGATATAGCCACTAACACCACTTAATCATGTTAGATGTGGTTCTAGAAGACAATTTAAAAATATCCAGTCAACTTCCATTCCAAAAATGGTACGTGTCTTGACGGTTTTCCAGTCTCTATCAATGAAAACTAGTACTGTATCATCTGCATATGATACATCTTTACCTTAAATGTCAATCTGAGTTAAGCTCTTAATGTATACATTAAACAATATAGGTCCCAAAACAGTCGCTTGTGGCACCCCAATTTGTACAGTGCTTTTAAACTTATATCATTTTCGTACACTTGTTTCAAATACATTGTTTTTTCTAGATTCTAGATTTCTTCGTCACTAATGTATCTAACTGTGAATTGCTTTACAGGATGCTGGTTACGGTGAAAAATTCCTTTTCACACCCGCCGAAGATGACGATGAAGAAATGCAGCTCAAAATGGACGATGAAGTGAAAGTCGCTCCTTGGAACACGACGAGAGCCTACATCCAAGCCATGAAAGGGAAATGTCTGCTTCAATTAACGGGTCCCGCTGATCCTACAGGTTGCGGCGAGGGTTTCAGTTACGTTAGAGTGCCCAACAAACCTACGCAGAGCAAGGAAGAACAAGAATCGCAACCAAAAAGGACCGTTACTGGTACGGATGCTGATTTGAGGAGGCTGTCGTTGAATAATGCCAAGGCTTTACTGAGGAAGTTCGGTGTTCCCGAGGAAGAGGTAGGTTTTTAATTATTGACAGATTCGTCGATCCAGACCTCAATCATGGTCATTTATACATTTATATTTTTAAAAGTTAAAATAAAAGTTAATATAAAAGAATAAAGGTTAAAATAAACGCTAAGATAAAAGTTAAGAAAAACGTCAAAATAAAAATTTAGATAAAAGTTGAGATAAAAGTTAAAATAAAAGTTGAGTTAAGATAAAAGTCAAGTTAAAGGTTATAAAAGTTAAGTTAAGATACAAGAATAAAAATCTTGTATCCTTGTAGATCAAAAAGCTATCCAGATGGGAAGTCATCGACGTAGTACGGACCTTATCGACTGAAAAAGCGAAAGCTGGAGAAGAGGGCATGGATAAGTTTTCGCGAGGTAACAGATTTTCTATAGCCGAGCATCAAGAGAGGTACAAAGAGGAGTGTCAAAGAATTTTTGATTTGCAAAACAGAGTACTGTCCAGTGCTGAAGTGCTGAGTACCGATGAAGGGGAAAGTTCGGAAGACGAGAGTGATGAAGATATGGAAGCACTTGGTAAAAATATCGAAAATATGTTAGCAAATAAGAAGACCAGCAGTCAGGTAAATACAGTTTTTTTTTAAATTATTTAATGTTTTGATTTTTTTTATTCTTCCCATTCTATCGATTTTTTAGATACTTTAGATTCATTAGATTCTTTAGATTCATTGGATTCTTTAGATTCTTTAGATTCGATTCTTTAGATTCTTTAGATTCTTTAGATTCTTTAGATTCTTTAGATTCTTTAGATTCTTTAGATTCTTTAGATTCTTTAGATTCTTTAGATTCTTTAGATTCTTTAGATTCTTTAGATTCTTTAGATTCTTTAGATTCTTTAGATTCTTTAGATTCTTTAGATTCTTTAGATTCTTTAGATTCTTTAGATTCTTTAGATTCTTTAGATTCTTTAGATTCTTTAGATTCTTTAGATTCTTTAGATTCTTTAGATTCTTTAGATTCTTTAGATTCTTTAGATTCTTTAGATTCTTTAGATTCTTTAGATTCTTTAGATTCTTTAGATTCTTTAGATTCTTTAGATTCTTTAGATTCTTTAGATTCTTTAGATTCTTTAGATTCTTTAGATTCTTTAGATTCTTTAGATTCTTTAGATTCTTTAGATTCTTTAGATTCTTTAGATTCTTTAGATTCTTTAGATTCTTTCTTTCTTTAGATTCTTTAGATTCTTTAGATTCTTTAGATTCTTTAGATTCTTTAGATTCTTTAGATTCTTTAGATTCTTTAGATTCTTTAGATTCTTTAGATTCTTTAGATTCTTTAGATTCTTTAGATTCTTTAGATTCTTTAGATTCTTTAGATTCTTTAGATTCTTTAGATTCTTTAGATTCTTTAGATTCTTTAGATTCTTTAGATTCTTTAGATTCTTTAGATTCTTTAGATTCTTTAGATTCTTTAGATTCTTTAGATTCTTTAGATTCTTTAGATTCTTTAGATTCTTTAGATTCTTTAGATTCTTTAGATTCTTTAGATTCTTTAGATTCTTTAGATTCTTTAGATTCTTTAGATTCTTTAGATTCTTTAGATTCTTTAGATTCTTTAGATTCTTTAGATTCTTTAGATTCATTTCTTTGGATTCATTTCTTTGGATTCATTTCTTTGGATTCATTTCTTTGGATTCATTTCTTTGGATTCATTTCTTTGGATTCATTTCTTTGGATTCATTTCTTTGGATTCATTTCTTTGGATTCATTTCTTTGGATTCATTTCTTTGGATTCATTTCTTTGGATTCATTTCTTTGGATTCATTTCTTTGGATTCATTTCTTTGGATTCATTTCTTTGGATTCATTTCTTTGGATTCATTTCTTTGGATTCATTTCTTTGGATTCATTTCTTTGGATTCATTTCTTTGGATTCATTTCTTTGGATTCATTTCTTTGGATTCATTTCTTTGGATTCATTTCTTTGGATTCATTTCTTTGGATTCATTTCTTTGGATTCATTTCTTTGGATTCATTTCTTTGGATTCATTTCTTTGGATTCATTTCTTTGGATTCATTTCTTTGGATTCATTTCTTTGGATTCATTTCTTTGGATTCATTTCTTTGGATTCATTTCTTTGGATTCATTTCTTTGGATTCATTTCTTTGGATTCATTTCTTTGGATTCATTTCTTTGGATTCATTTCTTTGGATTCATTTCTTTGGATTCATTTCTTTGGATTCATTTCTTTGGATTCATTTCTTTGGATTCATTTCTTTGGATTCATTTCTTTGGATTCATTTCTTTGGATTCATTTCTTTGGATTCATTTCTTTGGATTCTTCCTTTGGATTCTTCCTTTGGCTTCTTCCTTGGGATTCTTCCTTTGGATTCTTCCTTTGGATTCTTCCTTTGAATTCTTCCTTTGGATTCTCCTGTGGGTTCTTCCTTTGGATTCTTTCTTTAGATTCTTTCTTTCTTTCTTTCTTTCTTTCTTTCTTTCTTTCTTTCTTTCTTTCTTTCTTTCTTTCTTTCTTTCTTTCTTTCTTTCTTTCTTTCTTTCTTTCTTTCTTTCTTTCTTTCTTTCTTTCTTTCTTTCTTTCTTTCTTTCTTTCTTTCTTTCTTTCTTTAGATTCTTTCTTTCTTTAGATTCTTTAGATTCTTTAGATTCTTTAGATTCTTTAGATTCTTTAGATTCTTTCTTTCTTTAGATTCTTTAGATTCTTTAGATTCTTTAGATTCTTTAGATTCTTTAGATTCTTTAGATTCTTTAGATTCTTTAGATTCTTTAGATTCTTTAGATTCTTTAGATTCTTTAGATTCTTTAGATTCTTTAGATTCTTTAGATTCTTTAGATTCTTTAGATTCTTTAGATTCTTTAGATTCTTTAGATTCTTTAGATTCTTTAGATTCTTTAGATTCTTTAGATTCTTTAGATTCTTTAGATTCTTTAGATTCTTTAGATTCTTTAGATTCTTTAGATTCTTTAGATTCTTTAGATTCTTTAGATTCTTTAGATTCTTTAGATTCTTTAGATTCTTTAGATTCTTTAGATTCTTTAGATTCTTTAGATTCTTTAGATTCTTTAGATTCTCTAGATTCTCTAGATTCTCTAGATTCTCTAGATTCTCTAGATTCTCTAGATTCTCTAGATTCTCTAGATTCTCTAGATTCTCTAGATTCTCTAGATTCTCTAGATTCTCTAGATTCTCTAGATTCTCTAGATTCTCTAGATTCTCTAGATTCTCTAGATTCTCTAGATTCTCTAGATTCTCTAGATTCTCTAGATTCTCTAGATTCTCTAGATTCTCTAGATTCTCTAGATTCTCTAGATTCTCTAGATTCTCTAGATTCTCTAGATTCTCTAGATCCTCTAGATTCTTTAGATTGTTTAGCTTCTTTAGATTCGATTTTTTTTATATTGTATTTTTTGTTTATTAGTTATCTTTGGAAAGGGAAGAGCAGGAACGACAGGAATTAAGAAAAATGATTTTAGAGGGCGAGAAGAAAGAAAAGGAAAAGAAAAAAATAGAGGAGGAGAGTGAGGATCAAAGTTTAACTCAAGGTAGGAACTATTATTAAGGAATGGTCATAATATAATGCAAACATAGAGGAAAGTAATATTTATATTCCAGTAATTAAAAAGTACAAAAATTATTTTTCATGGGTCGCTTAGACCAATAGACCAATAAAAGTTGTTTGGTTTTAGGGAGAATAATGAAAATAACCAGAACATTCAGGAACCCTGAAGGCAAGGAATTTACTCGCGTTGAATTAGTTAGAAAACCTGTGGTGATAGATGCTTACGTCAAAATTCGTACCACCAAAGACGAGGAATTCATCAGACAGTTCGCCACCTTGGACGAAGCGCAAAAAGAAGAAATGAAAAGGGAAAAACGAAGGATACAGGAACAGTTGAGAAGAATAAAAAGGAACCAAGAAAAAGAAAAAATGGGTTCTCATCATCACCATCATCATTCACATTCTAGGGATTCGTTGAGTATGCCACCGGCCGGTACTGTGGAGAAATTGCCCAATCCAAATGAATGTAAGTAGAATCTTTCAATTAAATTTAACTATTTTCTCATTCACAAAGCATAAAAAGTATAAAGCTTTAATAAAAATACAAGTTCACCAATTTTTGATGGTATAACCATTATTTTTTTAGCTATTCCTACTCCAGTAACTCCAACGTCCAGCAAAAGTATAACATCTTCTCCTCCTAAATCTAGAAGGAAAACCAAACTCAAGCCTGACTTGAAGCTTAAATGTGGGGCCTGCGGTAATGTCGGTCACATGAGGTAACATTTTTTAACATCATAATATAGTAAGAATTAAATATTGTATTTTTTTATTAGGACAAACAAAGCTTGTCCTCTGTACCAAAATTCGACTGGTCAAAATCCTCCTATAAATGTAGCAATGACTGAAGAGCAAGAAGAAGATATCGAGAAGCAACTAAATACCGACGATGAAGATCTCGTTAATGTGGACGGTACAAAAGTGAAATTATCTGGAAAATTATTGAAGGTAAAAACTGGTATTCTACTTTGTTTACATACCTTGACAGGCATTGGATTATACCTGGAGAAAAACAGTAGACATGGAACATCATTTTTAATGCGGTCACTTGATTTTACCTCTTTGTCACATTTGTGGTTTGAATTATTTTCCTGTTTCTTTGTTTTTTGCAGCATTGCACATAATTTGTTAAATGCATCGAGATAGAATAAAGAGGAGACGCTATGACGTTACTAAAAGTGTCCCCACCTTTTCCATTTGCACTACATTTTTACGTCATTTGTCAAACTAACTCGACCTAGTCAGTTTGATCACTGTTTTGGTGAGAATAAACGCCATTTTTTTAAAATAGCTACATTTAAATCTTATAAAAAGTTGTTTACTTTAATTTTAATTAATGGTATCATGTGCTATAAGAGGCTGTTGCAGCAGTGACAGCGTTAATAAAAGAAAAAATCTACAGGAATTACATTTCATAAGTCTAAGGCATATTGTAAACAATTACAAGGATCGTATTGTTGATTTTTGTTACAATGTTTGTGTGGTAATTAATCATAATTTACTTTTCTAATATATATAATTATATCAATCTTGCCAGTTCAGATTCTGATAAAAATGTAATGATAATTTAATATCAGTAGTGATGCCCAAATAAATCATTGGTGCTATAAAGATCATATTTTATGCTATTACTGTAAGTACAGTTTAAATTTTCACAATGCTAATTATACCTACAATTCTTGATTTATAAATTTCCGAAAGACGTGTTTTAAATTTTGACAACGCTAAATATACAATTAATTTTCTGTCATTCTTAGCATCGCTAAGTGCGTCCATCTATCTTATCGTAAAATAGTGTTTATTTCGTCTCTACTTTATTCTATCTCAATGGTTAATTGCCTATTTTCATATAACGACGGTATATTCCTAGTTCTTGATCTACCATTAAAATTAAATAAAGCAAGCAGTTCCGGACAATTTATTATACTATTTAACAATTAATGTAAGAGTAGTAAATCCTCATCATGCCTTCGTTTTTCAAGAGAGTAAAGATTAGTCATTTCAGAAATTTGATGAGAGTTCATTTTTAACTTATGAAAAACCTCCTAGACTCTCTCAATCAATTCCTCATCACACATGTATAGTGGCTACCAAACAGTTCAACTATATTCTAAAAGTGACTTGATAAAAGATGAATAAATTAGTCTGATATTGTTAATATTATTATTGTGTAGTAATAATATAAATTTGTGGTAAAGACTTTGAATTTTCTTTTTCCTATAAACTGATCAAATATTTTAGCATGCTGAAGAAATCAAACGTAGGAGTCTAATGTTAAAAGTTCCAAGAGATGCATTAGGAAATAAAAAGAGACGACGAGGAGTTCAAGATTTACACTGCGACTATTTGAAAAAGCACAGCAAACCTGCTAATAGACGAAGAACGGACCCTGTCGTGGTCCTATCCACCATTCTAGAAAACATCCTCAATGAAATGAGGGACATGCCCGACGTACAGCCATTCTTGTTTCCCGTTAATCCAAAAGTAAGAAATTGTTTTATGTCTCGTTTTTTACGTACTTAAATTTATATGTTTTGAGTGGTAACTATTTGTTTTGTTTTCAGCTGGTTTTGGATTATTACAGGATAATTCAGAGGCCTATGGATTTGCAGACCATAAGAGAGAATTTGAGACAGAAAAAGTACCAAAGTCGCGAAGAATTTTTGGCCGATGTCAATCAAATTATTGAAAATTCTTCGCTTTATAATGGTAAGTTTCAATAATTCATACAAGAATTTTTTTCATGTATATTTGCTTTAAACAAATTTATGACAGATACATAATCAGCAACAATACATGACCCCCACTACCATTCGGGATAACGCTGTTGCATTAAAAGTTAAATAAAAGTTAAGATAAAAGTTTAGATATTAGTTAAGATAAAAGAACTATCTCAATGTATTATATGCCAGCCATTTAATTACATTGGTATAAAAAAATCCTAATATAATTACATCAAAAACGCAAATACAACTTCTTCCTTTTAAAAAGAAATATCTGCCTGTTTATAATATTAAATGGTCTGTAGTTAGAAGTATTTCCAGTTAAAATTTTCCAAATCCATGAATTTATTATCATTACTATTTATTTATGATTTATTTTATAATCTGATTCTAGGAGCTAAAAGTAGTCTAACAGTAGCCGCGCAAAGAATGATGACAAAATGTGTTGAACGCTTAGGAGAAAAAGAAGACAGACTTATGAGACTGGAGAAGGCAATCAATCCTCTTTTGGATGATAATGATCAAGTTGCGTTAACGTATATTCTGGACAATGTAGTTAATGTTAAATTAAAGACAATGTCTGAATCATGGCCGTTCCTAAAACCCGTTAATAAGAAGCTCGTTAAAGATTATTATAGTATCGTTAAGAGGCCAATGGATTTGGAGACTATTTCTAAGAAGGTGACAGGTAAGAATTGAATAACATTTGAATTATAAAATATTAATTTTTGAACAATTTTAGCTCACAAATATCACAGTAGGCATGAATTTGTGGTGGATATCGAACAAATTTTGCAAAACTGTGTACTCTACAATGGAAAAGATTCCACATTTACTGAAAAAGCGGAAGTTTTGGTTAAAGCTTGCAAAGAAACTTTAGATGAGGTAAACTATCGATAAAAATAATTTGGTTTCATAAATTTTTTTTTTCTAATAACTTTTTAGTATGACGAACATCTTACCCAACTGGAAAATAGGCTATTATTGGCCCAAGAAAGAGCAATGCAAGATGATGATCAATCATGGATAGGAGGCGATGATGAAAATTATACCATAGCTGAACCAGATCACATTGTAAGTATTTTTACCCAAAGCAAAAAGTAATTCAAATTGCATGTTATTGTCACAATTAAAAATCATAATGGAATATCTTTAATGTTTCTCTTTAATGTTTAGTTTTAAAGTTTCTCTTTAGTGTTTCTCTTTAATGTTTCTCTTTAATGTTTCTCTTTAATGTTTATCTTTATTGTTTCTCTTTAATCTTTCTCTTTAATGTTTCTCTTTAATGTTTCTTTCTCTTTAATGTTTCTCTTTAATGTTTCTCTTTAATGTTTCTTTTAATGTTTCTTTTTAATGTTTCTCTTTAATGTTTCTCTTTAATGTTTCTCTTTAATGTTTCTCTTTAATGTTTCTCTTTAATGTTTCTCTTTAATGTTTCTCTTTAATCTTTCTCTTTAATGTTTCTCTTTAATGTTTCTCTTTAATGTTTCTCTTTAATGTTTCTCTTTAATGTTTCTCTTTAATGTTTCTTTTTAATGTTTCTCTTTAATGTTTATTTTTAATGTTTTTCTTTAATGTTTCACTTTAATGTTTCTCTTTAATGTTTCTCTCATTAATTTACAAATTTATGCATTGTCTTGAAAAAGGCTTTAAACCTGTAACATTTTTACAGAGTCAGACTAGTTCTCCAGACCATATGTCTTCCATAAAATCACAATTGGATGAATACGATCTCATCGACGTAGAAGGCGAAGGTATGCACGGCCTGGACGAATCGATGATTCCCAAACCATCCAAGTTACAAAAGAAGATCAACAAGAAAGAGGACGTTCACACGTTAGAAGAAGATTTACAATTCTCGAGCGAAGAGGAACTGGACGAAGTTCCTTTGCACGAATTCGAGGACGATAACAAGGGATTATTGATATCCGCGGAAATTCCCATGGACGGTGAACACGCGGACGATGACAGCCAGCAGGCCGCGGAGGCCATGGTGCAACTGGGTACTATGGGGTACTATCCTCCGACGGAGGGACATGAATGCGATAGTGCAGAAGCACTTATGTTTAAAGGTACGTGTTTTTGTAAAAATATATATTGTTAAAATATTTTTATTGTCACCCACGTTAGGGCATCAGTTGTTATAATTTTAACACTCCCAATGTGGAGCACAGTAAAACTAATATAAACAGTAAAACTAATATAATAAATGACGCACAACATGGGGCGAGTTAAAATTATAACAATATTCATCCATATTGTAAATTAATCGATAATAATTATTATTTATCAAGTCAAGTTCACAAGTACATGTGCTTCTCACTAAACTGTAAAATAAAGTGGAAAAAAAGGTCAAATTTCATAGTAAAATTTGTACTATAATGAAGTGTTTAAGTGTACTCTTCAACAACAGTGCATTATTGAAATGAGTGAAAAACAAATTAAAACAGAAAAGTGAAATTTTAGATGTGAATTGCAACAAATTTATAGATTTGGAGATACAAATAAAAATAATCCTACAAAAAACTTAAACTGATAAAGTAAATAACTATTAAAGCAGAACTAGTTTTTGCCAGTGGTGAAGTAAATTTATTTTTACAATGGACAAAACATATAAATGCTGTAAATATAAAGAATTTAAAAGCTATAGGTTGTGCAAAACAAAGTTGGATGTATATTTTTCTTGGATGATTTATTTCTGCTTTATTTGCATTATCTATCATCCCTTGTTAATATTAAATTAAATTCTGTAGGTATTAAAACTTAGTCTGTTCTTATGTGTTTATTTTTAAAAGTTAGACACAATACTTGGCAAATATGATGACATTAGTGATGTGCATCAAACTTTCTTTTGCATAAACTATAGTGTTGTAAGATATGAATTGGAATTTTTCATGACGGCTGCTTAGCAAGAAAAAAAAGGAGTAACATTTTTAGAAGGAAATGAAATTTATTGTAGATTGTAGCAATGAGTGTGCAAATAAGGAGAGTTTACAGAGAAGTGAAAACATTAAATTAGAAGATGAGATTTCAAAATTAAAAATATTGTTAAAAGAGAAAGAGATAGATATAGAAACACTACCTAATGATTGTGAAAATGAAGTGGTGCAGCAGGGGGACGATTGGAATAGTAAACTAAAACTGTATTTGGCATACATAGATAATCTTAACAAGGAAGTAATAGATATGAAAAACATAAATGAGCAGTTAAGTTTAGAATTATCTGATAAAGAAACAAATTTTAAACAACTAAAGCTTAATTTATAACCGCCGTAACGTAACTTAAGAACTTAACGTAAGAAGTTGAAATATTGAATTTACGTATACTTATTTATAATGTTCGTAACGTAACTTAAGAACTTAACGTACCGTAGAAAGTTCACCAACTTTTAACTTAACAACATAACTTAACGTAAGACCTTACGGTTAGCCAATGAGATAATTCTGCGTTCGGCATGTGATAACTGTCAATTATTCTTTTTATTTTTTTTTTATAAATAAATAGAAAAATACCATTTGTAAACTATCATTCTCCTTTTTGATGGACATACATTATCATGAATGATTTGTGTTTATGTTATTGGGGATAAACTATCTATGAGATATGAGTGTAGCTGCATATACCTATAAACATCAAGTCTAGAACTGAAATAAGACAAAACTTTTTTGCTAGGAAAGATTAAATTCTCATTATTGCTCAAAAACAATCAACATCTTCGGTAAACTATTTTGTTTTATTATATTTTTATATTATTGCTTTTAAAGTAGTTAATATATTCTTTCTATATAGCAAAATCATAATTTATAAGTTTTATTTAGAGGTTAAGTACATAGTTTACACTTGTTTATTTCATAAGGTTGTCAATAATTTGATAATCTCTGAAATCAACACGCATGCTCTACTCTTACGTTACGGACATTTATAAATAGACTTTATTTTTATATCTTAGGTTAAGTTTCTACGGCGTTAAGTTAAGTTACGTTACGGTGGTTATAAATTATACTTTACGATGAAACTTTAATGACATAAAAAATAATATGCTACAAACTATTAAAATATTATCAGGTGGCAACCAGATCTATGCTGAAGAAATTGATAGATATAAGAAGGAATTGCAAAATGATGTAAATAACACGCAGATCAAGTCTAATGTTAATAAATCAAATAAACAGGATGATGAACTGGGTGATAGTAAAAAAATAGAAAAAATATAAATGAGATGCAACAAAATTTAATTTTATGTGATGAAACGGGAGGAGGTCTAGGAATGATGCTGTGACAAAACTTTTGAGTGCCAGGTGGAAACAATTATTAAGCCAGGAGCACAATTTGAGTATGTCATTGAAAATATAAATGAACTTTCAGCAGATTACACATTAAATGACTATACTATAATAATGGGTGATATTAATAATTTTAATTGTAGAGTATACCCTAAAGTAATTACAATTAATAGTAAGATAAAACATTGTACTCACACTAATATAATTTTTACAGCCATACTACAATATGGAGGGAGCAAATTAAGTATGTCATTAGTAAATTTAATAATAAATTATGTAATTATGTTTCATATTTGGATAAATATGCAGAAGGAAAAGTTAATTGGATTAATATATTAGATTTTAATGGATATTAATTAGGAAACAAGAAATTTGTAGTAAATTTGTTTATGAAATTAAAGTCAACTAGTAATCTTCATTTTCTGACCACTACATACTTTGATTTAACAACAAATTGCAAAGAAAATAACCAAATATCTGAACAAGCGTCAGGTGAAAATATTTTTTTAGATATAAGTAGTACAACTATTGACCTAACAACAAATAGAAGCAATGAAAATATAAACCGAATATATGAACAAGGGACAGGTGAAAGTAATTATTTAGATATAACACACAAATGTTGAGGAGTTCTAAACCAAAACAAAAAAACATTCTTGTTCTGTATTTTAATTCCCAAAGTTTACTAGCTCATTATGATGAAATTTATAATATAATTATTGATAAACAGACTATTATAGTTTGTTTGACAGAGACACATTTAACAATAGACATACAAAATAGTGAAATGTTTGTTGTTCCTGGGGCCCTATTCTCGAATGTCTATTTCTAAATGTCACACGCGACATTGATGTTATGTCGAACAAAAACGCAAAAACGTATTCTCGAATGGCGAATTCGACATTTGCTGTTTGACATAAAGTCTAGTAGACTAGTTAATAGTTTAAGGTGGTATTCAACCAGTCGACATTTTAATGTCGCGTACCTTTTTAAAGATATGTTACAGTATGAGTGTTGTGACAGTGATAATTTAAGTTTATTTTTAAGAGAAATGAAAATAAGTTTTGTATAAATTGTTTTTAAAAAAATTTTATTTGATTAATCACAATTTCACCTAATTTATCAAAAAGAGATTTAATCCCTGTCATTAAGAAATTTATATAGCTCTATTTTTTCAAATTAAAGGGAATAGATTATATCACAGACCTTTTATGTAGTGTTAAGATTATATTATAATAATATATTTCTTCTTTTTTTTTAATCTCTTACCAAATTGCACTTTTTGCAATTTTCTATTTAATCACTCATGAAATTTCAGTTATATTACATATTCTCTACTTTCTAATTAGTATTTATCAAAAAGATATATATTTGGATATTTCAGTAATATTTTGTATTACTAATAGATCCTTCAAGTAATTGTCTACTGTAATATACTCGTATTGTATGTTTCTATCCAATGTTGTCAGATGTTACTATTCGCCACATAGGTCATCGATTTTAAAATGTCTATTGGTCTTTGAGAATACGGATAGTGTCAGTTGATCGATAGTTTGATAGAAATTAGTGGTAGACATTATGACGAATGCGACATTTTTAATAGACATTCGAGAATAGGGCCCCTGGATATAAAATAGATAGGGTAGACAGTTGCAGTAGCCATACTCTAATTTATAGGAAAAAAAAAACTAATATTTTTAACGTTAAAACATATACTGTGGAAAAAGTATACTGGTTTATTAACCGACTTCAAAAGAGAAGGAGGTTCTCAATTCGTCGGTATATCTCTTTAAGAATGCAATATTTATCATCTTTTTATATAGTTCACAGTAGAGGGCGTATCGCTTATCTTCAGATCCCAATAAGTTTTAAATATAATTTCCAAGTAAGTAATTCTGACAAGCTGGCAATTTCGTTTACAAATGTTTTTTTATTATATTTTCTATTTTTATGTTATATAAAAATTTGTTTGTTTTTAAAACAAACTATATTTTGTTAATAAATATTATATAATAAAAAAAACGCTTAGATAAACTTCTAAGTTGAAAAGTTTGAGACCGGAACAGTACGAATCCGCAGAAGTATCGACTGCGGTCTGCGATCGGCACTGGTCTCGAAAGGGTTGATATTTACTAGCAATTCATAGACTCTTATTAGCTGGAAATCGCCGAGGCTTATTTCATTGTGCAGCGTTCTATTTCTTTGCATTCAATTTTCACGTTCAACCTCTTATCAGCATAACAGGCAGCAACCTCGTTGTTATTTGTCTAAGGCAGGCCTGCACAACTGAGATTTTCAAAGGGCCAGTTTAAAAATACCGTAGATGTACGAGGGCCAAGAACGGATGCAATTTTTTTTTGGCGGGGGGATAAATTTATGTCTTCTATTGAGCTTCTAAAAAAAAAGTCCTTCTATCGAACTCCTAAAAAAGGCAATTAATACCTAAATGCAATTTTGTTTGAAAAATGTATAGTTTGACGTATGCGGGCCAAATTCGTAAAGGTACAAAGGGCCAAGACAACGGCGGGCCGTATGTTGTGCAGGCCTGGTCTAAGGGATCTATCGATCGGTGGAAAAGCGACGTTTCTGGGGTCGTCCTTACCATTGAATCATTTTGGTTCGGTTTTGCCAGATTTATTCTACAAATTTCTCCAGATCTGGAGAAACATCGACGAAAATGGTGGTATCTACTCTTTTATTATTCAACAGTTTGTAACAAATCGAAAAATATTATTTTTCTACACCCACATGGATATTGGCTTATCTATACACAGACTACAAAACGAAAAAGTATACTATTGAGTTCAACTGAAAATATATTTCATATTCATTTTAGGTAGTGAGAACAATGCAAAACAAATTAAATCCACCAATCCCAGTTCATATTTTGGACACCTAACTACAATATTATTTTTAAAAATTTTAAAGTGACAATTCTGTCAAACTAATTGTCAGTATATTTTTTAGTTATTGAGATTGAATACACATAATTGAATACACATAAATAATAGCATTTTTATTTGGTCCACACTTTGAAAAAAATCTTAAATTTAAATCAAACTAATTTGTAATTCTTTTTATTGAGTAAATATATATTATTATATGAAACTAATTTAATTACGAGTATTAAAAATAAAATCCTAAATGTGGAATGGTGGAGATGTCTTCCACATGAGAGGCCCGGGTTCGAATCTGTAAATTAGTGAAAGTCATAAATTATCTTAAAATTAGTTATTTTGTCTTAATAACATAAAATATTTTTTTAAATTTGTAGATTTTCGTTAGTGGGTCGTAGAAACAATATAGTGTACAACTCGAGTGGATTGTCCATATCGCACTTAGACGTGCTCGTACCTCGTCTTCGTGCGATATGACCATCATATCCACTCTTGTTGCACAAACTACTAATTTCCATATCTCTTTAACCCTTTAACGATCTAGACTCTGGGAGCTTTTTAATCATATGTATTTTTTTTTACTTTGTGGCACATATTGTTACAACTGTTAACGAATTCAATTAATTTCAAGTATTTCTAAAAGCAATCTCAATCGATTTCTTTTATATACCCGAAAAATATCAAAAGCATTTTTTATTGTAGAAGAAAGTATGGATGTAGATCCCAACTACGACCCGTCAGATTTCCTAATGTCCGGTCTACCGCTACGTAAAGTCGATGACAACATGATCAACGACAGTCAAGAAGTTACTACTTTGACCGAAATGAAAATACATGATGATTTGGCAGTCAGTGAGAGTGAAGATGAGGGTACAAATGCACATCAGGAGGTCCACGAGAATATGCAGGAAGATGATGATGCTGGTGATCTGTGGTTTTAATCGAGTTTTGTTGTTTCGTTTTTGTATATTTCGAATTTCATTTGTATATAGTTCCTGTATAAGATGTAATTAATACGTAATTGTGATGTAATTAAATTAAAAATTGATTATAGATTTTATTATATTTTATCGTTTTTTATTTACCAACTTTAAATTTAGTACTGCTTCTGGTTTGCGAAAGATATAAAAATTTTTGGAAATAATTGAGTACAATCTTACTTCTAGTCAATAATTGCCAAAAAAAAAAAAAATACACAACAAAAAGTTTTTGTGATATGTATTAATATTTTTTTGTAGCAATTTTATATACTATTACAAATTGAAAAATTATTTAATGTTAATATTTTCATTTGATTCATTTCCAATATTATTTTGATTTCTTTTGAACCGTCATTTAAAATACGATATATTAATTTTTTTCAGCTATACCAGTTAAAAAAGCAGGTTTTTCACTAGCTAGTTATCCTTTGAGTTTTTATAATATTGCTGTATTTACGAGACTGCGCCAGAGAAGAAAAAATCACTATCAGACTCGCACTTACTAATGTTCTTCATTATTAGAACTACTCTACAAGGTAGACACAAGAAAAAAGGCATTTCAGCTGCGTAAATTTATTTAATATATTTATTACACAGAATGGATGATTTATTCATATTTGAATCCAAGTATTTTTGTACGGGTTAAAACAATAATTACATAATATCTACAGGTGAAAGATTGAAGATTATAATAAGAAGGCACCGCTGAAAGAAGACGGGGAATTCAATACAATTGCATAAAACAGCTTGTAGTCTTCTAGTTTTAGGCCAGAAGTTAGGTTACGTCTTCCAGAAATAGTTACCACAAATCCTTATCGTCCAAAATATGAATTCAAACCAACAATCTTAATGTAAATATGTTTTTATAGGAAACACTGGTAGGGTATCGTACACTTCTTGTTCTTGATTTGAAAGTAATAATCGTCTTATTGGTGGTGAAAAGAGCTAAGCCACATTTTTAGGCAAAATGAGTTAATTATATCACATAAATAAAACAACTCTGTAAAATAGTGAAGAGAGATAAGCGATTTTGTAATTATAATCTTAAAAATCCCACAAAGTGAAAGAAGCTAGGTGAAAATACATATATCTCTTTCAGTGGTAAAGTATTTTAAGCGACATACATTCTTTTTCTTTCGTTTTTAAATCAGTCTTAAGGGACTGTTTTCTTTGGTACTAATTTTTATCATATTTAGTACATAAATAACTTAAGATTTAAATCAAAAGTTGTTTTAACCTAAGAGTTACAAACTTATCTACCGATTTTCTCCAGTTAATAAGTCTCTGGCTTAGCTCCTTTCACCACCAATACGACGTAATGTAATAAATAGTCAAGTGAAGAGAATTATTTTGTTTTAAATGAATTACAGTTTTGGATATTATGGTTAGTAAATATTTCTGAAATTATTTAAATATGTTGACCTAGCAACTGGCGTATTTTGTACAACACGGGAAAATCTTGACCACCAAGTATAGGTACATCAAAATTGAGGTTGTTAACTAAATATACCCAAAAATCACACAATCAGTATTTTACAAATATAGCATAAGAAAAATGTATATATATATTTTTAGTGGCCGGTTAGATTTTCCAATCGAACATACACATATATGTCCATTAACTAATACAAAAAAGACCTTCTGCTGTTATCTCTTACTCGCGCTTACTAAATAATAACATTGAACTAACAAAAACCTTAACTTTTTTTTGGTACATATTAACATATTTACAAATAAACATCATTTATTGCTAACGATAATACAACAAACAAGTAAGCAGGGTGTCCCAATAAAACATATTTTTGCCAGAGAAATTAAATTTTTTTGCTTTATCAAGCATCTGCAATAAGATCTTAAATTTTATTATGAAAAGAATATTCAAATATCGCTAAAAATGGCAGTGTGATAGTCTGAATAAGAGAACAAAAGGTATGGTTCAAGAAATCTATATAGTGTGAAGAGTGTAAGGCTTACGGGAGTTCAACTTTAATATTGGCAGAAGAGTAGAGTCAAGAGATTAAGTATACTTTTATATATAAATACGACCATCCACTTGCATTGATTCACTTACGATTTCTAAAACAAGGCGGTCCTAAATATTCCCGGAATATTCTACCAATACTGCTGTCATATGCTTTTATTGAACACGGCGACAGCCTGCAATGCAAACTCTATTAACTCATCAAGGTCTTTCGACTTGAGGTATTGAAAATAAATGATTTTAATCATGTATTGAAAATCGGCTCCAATAATAATAAGTGGAATCACTTTTTCTTACAGAAACTGATAAATAATGTGAGGATACCGTCTGGGGTGAATTCGGACGATTTTCTAGTCTTTTTACAAATAACAGCTACAATTTTTTATTCAAAGTAATTTATAAACTGAATACCGATTTTTTTTAATATATTTCCGAGGCATGGCTGTCCGAAATGACCCCACCTAGGAACACATTTTTTTAATTAATATCCTTCACCAAAACGATTTGTTTTTATAGTTTTGAGAATAAGGCAAGAAATCATAAGAGCCATGAAATAAATACTGTTGTTAGCTCGTTTATACTTTAGACATATAAACTACATCTATACTTAGTCGTGTCTAGTCATCTACTGACTTGAAAAGCCTCATGACCGACAAGCATAGTCTTGCAAGAAAAGACACTGTGTCGGAATTCGCCCTTACTGTCCGATTTCACCTCGGATCACGGTACCTCAGGGGTCGGTGTTAGCCCCTATATTGTTTTCTGTCTATATATATGAACTCCCTGAGCTACTTTTATCTAAGGTATTTACAATTCTATAAGCAGATAATTTCTTTCTTTTCTTACATTTATCAACAGAAATACTGCAAAATAAAATAGATATTACACTTGAACCTTTTCTAAATGGTCTAGTAATCAATTTCTACCATTAAAATGCCTAAAACATATTAAATTATGCTTCCATACGAAGTCAGCTACTTCAGTAGAGGTTGATCAGCGCACTTTTTTGTTGTGCCTCTAAATTACATTTTAGACAATGTGGTTCAAGAAGAGGTTGTAGTACATGAAATATTAATTATTCTTGTCTTTTCGTCCATATAGATATCAATGCAAGTAATACACAGATAAATAGAGTTGATTTTTTAAATAACCTTTGATGAAACCTTTCGTTTTAAAGCCCACTGTGAAAATCTATAATCTTTGTTAAACTCAAAGTGTTTTGAACGGATACCTAGGTTTTATAAGCGATTATAGAGAAAACGGGAATTTTAGGATCTCGTAATTCGGCAACATTGCTCATAAGATTTACACGTACATATATTTCCTAAACTACCTACAGTACCAGCCGATGTGACACAAGTAAGATAATTTAATTTCGCTATAACAATTTGGCAAGCTTATATCAAATGCAGATCTCAAAATAAACATCAACACAACCTCAAATTTTTGAGGAGTAAACCCTACTTTATTACAAATATTTTACACCAGATTTGTTTGTATTGTTTATTGATGTATGGTTGGTCTTATATTGTTATTTAGTCATTTCTGTTACAAAAAATTTATCAAAATGATTAAAAACTTTGGGTTCTGGTTCAGAAAATAATCTGTCTCAAGTTTGAACTGAATTTAAAGTAGGTTCAATATTTATGGAGTTTAAGTGGAACACCCTGTAAAACGGAAACTACGAAGGATATATTATCTCAGATCTGATCGAGTACTTATATTAACAAATTATGTGAAATTATAAGGTGTCGGTACCCATTATTGCAACTGCCGTTCAGTCTATCTTCATATTCTACGACTATGTAGATTCGACTACATACAAATATTCTGATATTTTTTGTCTTCTATAAATATTTGTCGATTTTGACATTTTTTCTCTGAACCATCAATTCTGATAATTATCACGATTTTTTTTATTTATATTATGAACCTAACGAGTGTAACGTCCAAAATGTATGATGAAATCTTTAATTTAGATATCAATGAAATCGTTATGAAATCTTCATTTGGATTTCTAATAGTAAGTCCAAAGATTAATAAATAAAAGTAAGCCAAATCTGATCTGTATGGAGGAATTCTCCTACGAAAAGAAAATATAAAAAAGATGAATAATATATAAAATATATGACGAAAGAAACAACACCCTAGCTTATTTCTGTATCTTGGCAATAATGTCTATATTTTTAAAAAACGTAGTAATTTTGTTCTTTAGGGGTTATTTAATGCGCATGTCGTCACTCTGTACTGACGTCTATAATTTGAATTTTACATCTGACACGTCGCCACATTTCTATTCTTGTTTTGCCGTTTGTTATTGTCGTAAACTTGAAGTATTATTATTTGTTGAGTAGTTGTTTATTTTCGATTTTTATTAGATAAAATAAAAATGAGTGGCAGAGGTTGCTAAACACACTTCTTTATTGTGCCTCTAAATGACATTTTAGACAATGTTGTGGTTCAAGAAGAGGTTGTGGTACATAAAATATTAATTTCTCTTTTATGTCCCTTTAGAAAATGACAAGGAAAATTTGTGTTTTACACAAAATACATCAAAATAATCTAAAATTAATGCGCAATCTGTGGTTACGTAAACTATACATTTTCTTTTAGGCTGCCATTTTGTTTATATTGTTTGACATTTCTAATAAATCAAATTTTTTTTCTTAGATTTCAAATATTAATACATACTCTGGCAACTACGTAACAATTGCAATCGTTCCAGCAAAACAAATAACATGCGCATTAAATCACGTAATTAGATTCGATAATTATTATAAATATTTTAAAACACTTATGACATTTTAGACTAATCGCGGCAAGCGTCAATTACTAGGTAACGTTACCACACGTCAAACAAGAAACGTAACGTTTTAAAATATGAGAAATACTGTTTTTCTCGAAATCGGGTAAGAATAAAAAAAACTACAAATAAAAGAAACCTGTATTTGTTAATATCTATAATTTTCTGAAATAAAAAAAAATGATGAGAATTCCCCAACTCGAAAAATTTGTTGTTTTGTTGGTAAATATAGATTGATCCTCTCAATTTTTATTGACTATACTTACCTACGTTTAAAAGTAGAGTATACAAACAATGTTCGATGTATCAATTGAATACATTTGTTGTGTATTAAGTATTTGTGCTCTTTTGTAATTTAGAATATGGATATCACAAATGTACCTAAATCAATATTAATTGCTTTATTGCTATTATGGAGAATCCTAAAAATAAGAGATTTATTAATGAACATTATGAAACCGATTTTCGAAATCAAACAGTTTGGACACTTCACATCGTAACAATTTGATTCAAATACATAACAATTAAAGGAACTCAATTTAATGACCTAGTTAAATATTTTCTAAATGGAAAATATAACACTAACAAATTGGTAACAAAGTAGGTACAAATATACGCGCGATATTTAATCCACTACGGAAACGTAGAAGGGTTACAAAATGTTTTATTATTTTTTCGATTTACAACTCGACTTGTAACTCAGAATAATATATTATTCCGATTTAGAACTCAGAAAAATCGATTTGTTTCACTTGTAACTCAAAAAATAGATTTTTTTGACTTACGAGTAGAAGTCGGAAAAATAATTTTTTATTACATGTAACTCAGTAAAATAGATTTGTCTGACTTGTAATTAAAAAAATATAGATTTTTATGACTTAGAACTCGAGAAAATCGATTTTTCTGACTTGTTACTTAAAATAATGAATAATTCTGACTTAGAACTTAGAAAAATCGATTTGTCTTACTTGTAACTCTCAGAAAAATAGATTTTTTTATAACTCAGAACTTGAATAAAAAAACGATTTTTTTTTATTTATAACTCGGAAAAATTCATTTTATTACATGTAACTCAGAAAAATCGTTCTCTGACTTTTAACTAAAAAATATAGATTTTTATGACTTAGATCTCGGAGAAATCGATTTTTCTGACTTGTAAATTAAAATAAATAAATTATTCTGACTTAGACAAAAATATATTTTATTTTAATACAAAAAACAAAATAAACAAAAAATGAAATAAAAATGTCTTTTGGTTGGCTTTACATAGCACCAAAATTTCGAGGTGCGTCGATTATACCTGCAAACAAAAATAATCGTTAGACTGCACCAGACCGAAGGAAGGCAAGTGCTAAATTTTAGGAATTTTTTATGTTGGATATTCATTGCTAATTTGTGATGTCAAAGAAGGCAGCAGAGAACCTAGGCAATTTTGAGTTGAAACCTATGCCATATTTTTAGGCTATTTTTATGCTACTGTTTTTTTTTGCAAATATCAAGGTGCTCTGCTAGCTTCGAACGAGGCCAGCAAAGCACCTCTGTTTTAACAAAGTACCCTGTATTTTTTAAAAAACACTATTTTTTTCGAAAAGTTTTATAATACTTTAAGAGCCTAAAAATAGCTCAAACATGTGACATAAGTAGATGTTTCCAGAAAAAAAACTGCTAACTTTGTTCCAGCAATTTTTAGAAAAGTTTTAAAATATTTCCAGAGCCTAAAAATAGTCTAAAAATGCGGTGTGGTTGTTTTTAGAAAAAAGCTTTAAAAAACCGAGGTGCTCTGCTGGCTTCGTTCGAAGCTAGCAAAGAACCTTGATTTTTGTAAAAAACGAGGAGCATTTTTGAATAGGGTACAAATATAGCCTTAAAATAGCCTAAAAATATGGCATAGGTTTCAACTCAAAACTGTCTAGGTGCTCTGCAGCCACCGTAGTTTGGTCTCTAAAAGGATCCGAGACTAATATTGATGATTCGAATACGAATCCTTAAGAATTTCTTTGGCGAATCCGGATCACAAATCCTTTTTTTCTTAAGTATTCGAATACCGCTCGCGGATCCTCGAAAAGGATTCGAATCCTATGTGATTCGAATCCTCCTCAGCTCTGATATGTTTACACCGAAGCAGTCGATAAGTAATGTTTTAGATTTGGACCGAATGATTTACTGATTGCATATAAATAGATTACAATTAACCAATTCAATTTTTTTAATGAACACCTATTTTATTTAATTTTTAAGGCCATTACAAGTTGAGTTCTAAATCTAAATAAGCTTATTTTGAGTTACAAGTCAGACAAACCGATTTTTCCGAGTTACATGTCAGAAAAATGGTTTTTTCTGAGTTATAGTTCAGATCAATCGATTTTGGGAGGAAAAATAAAAATAAATACCTCATACATATACAGGGTGGCTCACGCTCAACGGGACGGAGCTTTATGGGAAAACGACCAAAGATATAAAAAATTCGTTTGGGAGGAATACGTAGGTTACAGACGGCTACAATTTAAAATTTGTTAGATGTATACAGGATGTTCCACATAAGAGAAAATATACAAAGTTATATTATTTTTAATGGAACACCCTGTTTTTTATTTTAGAATTAAAAACTACATCAAAAATAATGTCAGTTAACTAAAGGTTCCCTATTACTATTATTATTAGTTTTCGATTTATTTGAATTTTTAAGGAAAAAAAGTCTCCCAGAAATTAATTGTTTACTCTTGTTTGAATAATTTTTAATGAACTAATTTTTTTTTTCTTATGTGGGACATCCTGTATACATCTAACAAATTTTAAATTGTAGCCGTCTGTAACCTACGTATTCCTCCCAAACGAATTTTTTATATCTTTGGTCGTTTTCCCATAGAACTCCGTCCCGTTGAGCGTGAGCCACCCTGTATATCCAGCATCTTCGGGCATCTCAACTTGGCTCATTGTAAACTTTAGGTACAGTTAAAACACAACTGTTATTTTCAGTACAAACATTCGGTCTGTGATATTTTCAGATAAACTTATTAAATTATTTTTAACCGCTTCGGTGTAAAGGTACGGTAAGGGTACACTTTTATATTAAGACATTTTTCTGACCTAAAAAGGAATAATCTATTAATTTGAGTTACAAGTAAGAAAAATAGATTTTTAGATTTCTAATTCATAAAATCTACATTTCAGAATTACAAGTCATAAAAATCATTTTTTTGAAAAAATAAAAAAAATATTTTGCGTGCCTTATGCACTTCCATGATCTATTTAAAGGGGAAGAAAAAAATAATAAATACGTCATAAATATAACCAGCATCTTCGGACATCTTTTCGTCCAAATCAAAAACTCTATAAGAAAGTAATTTTAATTATGTATCTATGTGTAATAAAATTAGGAAACTAGTTTTTTAAATAGTTTTATGAAAATAATGCTATTTTAAGCATTAGTTACTGTATATATTTACATTCATCAATATCTTTTTCTTATAAAAAGATGATCTTAGTGGAAAATCTGTGACGTGTAGATGAACAATTCTTATATTTTAGATAGATGTGGTGACATAACCTTATAGGTGCGTTTTATACTAGAATAGAGATCAATCATCACTATACTTTTTTGAATAAGAGAAACTGAATAATCGATATGACGTATTTCAAGTATTTTTTTCAATTCCAAATCATTATTCTCGACCATTGTTAATGTAATAATTTGCGTCTTTGATAATAGTGTGAAGCACATGTAAATCTATCACTTTTCTCAAAAACGAATAAATACTTTTTGTTTCGTCAAAAAACACGGCGTTGAATGAAAAATATAATCATCTAGGCGTTGGATTCTTTGAGATCTTGAAGGCGGGCCAGTTGATGCGGTTCTAGTTCGTCCGGAATACTCGCTCGGCCTCCGACTACTTGCTTGGGTTCCGCATCTACAGGGGGCGGAGCCTGGCTCACTGAGTTTTCCGCTGTACTAGGTCCCGTAGTTTCACCGTCACTGCCTGTACTGCTACTCACCTAAAAGATATCCTTTAGTTTAGTGTATTATTCCACTAGTCAACATAAATTGTAGTGGTTGATGTCTCCCATACTTTTCTACATAGACAATGAACATATTGTGGTATTTTTTTTAGTCCCGTTAAACAATATTTCCACTTGTGTAAAAGGTCATTTTACGCAGTGATAATGTAATATTTATACTATTTCGAATAATATTTAATTTGACATTCAATATTAATAAACCAATCAGACTTTGTATAACAGGGACATAAGTTAAATAGGTTTTCGCAGTTTTCCCACTTCATACACGGATTTGACAGTTTCGCCGCGGAGCTAACCGAAGTGAACGCCAAACCTTGGCGTAGAAATTTATTTTATAGCGTTAATAACAATTTCGTGTAAATAGCTTCATACATTGTGAATATAGCTATTCAAATTTTGTAGAATTGTGATTTGGGATGTTATTAATTGCTTAAATAAAGATTTCTAGCCCACAAATAGATACGATTGCCCGATGATTCTTCCGGTAATCATTTAAAATGTTTGGTATTATTTTTATTCTATGATACGACTCTGGCGTCCGACGGGAGTTTGACGTTTACCACCTCTACCAAAAGCCTTTCCAACCTTCTGTCCCTGCTATATATTTCAGTGTTATTTAGCTAAACACATTTTTAAATACAGACCTGTACATGGCTTGCGACAAGTTCGCAACGCAGTCAAGTTTAAAATAAATTACCTCATATTATGCTATCTGTACTGAATTGTAACGACGACCTCCAAATCCCCCAATAAACTAGTTGAATCAAAGGGCCTGGTGAAGCAAAAGCTACAATAATTTTGCTAACTCGCTTACCAGGAAAGCAGTTTGTCTAAGATCTTTAAGATCTTACCCGTCCAGAAGAACGATGTCATCAGCAGTAATAGACTTGATGAAACAACACCTTAACACCACCATTTCATTTAATAGCTCGAATGAATTACCAGAAAATTGCATAGCAACCAAGAAATACTTAATCAGTGAACAAGATAAAAGATAAAACTGTCGAGTAAATACTATGACTACTCGAAACTTGCATCAATTAGATTTTAAGACTCCAAGAAGAAGGAATTGGGGTGATAGAGAAAGATCATTGATAAATGGCAAAATGACGACTACGAAGATGAATCTAATACACAAAAACACGTCTTACCTTTCATTGTACTTACTACAAAGGGTGTGTAGACTTGATGGTCATCGAAATCTTCCTCTGAATCGAGAATCATCAAGAAATACTCCAAGAAGAAGGAACACTGGATTGTTGAAGAAAAAACAATGATGAATGGCAAGATGATGACTACGAAGATGAATCTCTAATACACATAAACACGTCTTACCCTTCCTTGTACTCACCACAAAGGGTGTGTCAACATGATGGTCATCGAATACCTCCTCCGAATCCTCTATCGTTTCTTGTCTAGTCGATGGCGGTTTCGTTTCATCTTCATCCGGTACGGTCGATGATGGTTCGTCGGCTTCGTCTTTGTGGTTGACCGTCGCTTCTTCTTCTTCTTCTTCGGGCGGCGGAAATGGACTGGCCTCTTCTATCATCGGAGTGGCAGCTGTTATAACGATTGAGGCGGCGCATAGGCCGAAATCGCTATTGTCTTGGTGTTCTTCCTGGTCTACCTCTTGTGAGTCCTACGGATTTCACGGTAATATTATGGCGATAAGTGCGATGACCAATTATTTCATGTTTGGTGTACAGTTTGGTTTCGTAAATCAAGACAGTTTTTTAAGTAAACTCGTGTTATCTTTGATCAAATTAAATAATTTGGGGTCACTATAAAATGAATGTGAATATTTTTTAACAGTTAATAGAATAGTTTCAATGAACCGTTGTAGTCATGATGATTGTATAACCTTACTTTTGGATTGATATCCGTATTTCATTAAATACATCAAAAATTAACTTACGATATTTTGGAATTTAACCTTTAAAATGTCTTGATTTAAAAAGAAAATAATATGTATAAAATGATATACCTCATCAACGATTTCGACGCTGGGGACGTCGATCGCTAAAAGCAGCATTAAAAAACAAAATTTTAGTCAGTATCTTTAAAATGCACTTTGTTTTTATGTCGTTCGATATATATTTTTTCAAATTTTTTGTTTCATACGATTTAAAACAATGGCTAAAATTGAACAGAGACGAATAAAAATCCGCTAGGAGCGCTGGTGGACTTTCGGCAAAAAATGGCGATTCAGTTTTAATCTTCCAGAAGGGCAATCGTGCAAATTGGCTTAGTTTAGCTTTTATCGAGTCTAATTTTGAATATAATATACTTGTTTAAAGTTAGCCGACCAATAATGCCAAACGAGACCACAGGAAAAGATGGGAGCATTAATCTAAAAGAATATTTTGGAATAGACTAGAAAGAAGATTTAACTATAAATAGGTGTTGAGTTGCCATTAGAAAAAGTTCAAATGAATAGTTATATATAAAAATAGTTGATCAACTGTAGTAGTTTGTATTTCGGTATTTCCTGGGAAGTTAATAAACTTCTTAAAAGACCCAACGTGTGTTACAAACTTGTGTCAGGCGTGAGGTGAAGAGGAAATAAGAATGCCTAGGAAGACGATAAATGTACTATTGGTGGCACAGCTCGAAGGGCTGGACTTGAATACCACCGTACCGAAGGCTGTATTATTGGAACGGCTATGTAAGTACTAACATTACCAAGGGGATTCAATCCAGAGTCGGTAGAATTCGAAGTTATCCCAAAAAGCTTTCACCACTCTCTTACCCAGCACATATCCAGTTAGTCCCAAGAGCGTGATGAATTGGTCAAGCTTTATCAGAATATCTTCTCTCAGCGTAACAAGTTCCTCCAAATAACCACTCTGATGTCCAATCAAGCTTCAGAGCTGCGTGCCGAAATGTATACAATAAAACCCCCAATTTACGATGGAAAGACGTCTTGACCGAATTACCTAAAACAGTTCAACGCTGCAGCGGGAGCCAATGGATTAACCCCCGGGAGAAAGCCATATATTTAATAGTAGCTTTGCGTGATAAGGCGTTAGATGTCCTGCAAACTCTCCATGCGGGTGAAGCTGAAGATTTTGACTAATTGTTGAAACGTTTAGAAATGAGATATGACTAAACCTATATAGAGCCGGTTTACTAGTCCCAACTTAAGAATCGAAAACAGGAGTTCGAAAAAGAAATTACAAGAATGGTTTGCTTTGCCTGCCCATCGACTCTGAACAGTCTTTTGGATTGCTTAGCTGTTCAAGCTTTCGTTGACGGTCTAAGACACCAGGACTTACAGAAAGCGATACGTCTAGCTCGCCAATAGGTTATAATGGATGCATTGCTGGTAGCGTTGGAATACGAAGCTGTGACGGAGACTTTCCATGGACCTTATCTAGTACGAGGAGTCCTCACTAATCACAACAACGTCGACACTCAACAAAAGTAATCTGATTCGAGCACTATGAAAAAGGTAGTGACTAGCGTGATGAAAATATTAGCTTCTAGATGTTGGAATTGCGGTGAATCTAGCTACATCAGGAATGCTTGTCCTCACTAGCAGAGAAGAAGTCCAAACAGAAGGAGGAAAACCTATGTCACATTAAAATGGTCAGTAATGAATGGACACCTGAGAAGATTCAGAAATGGCAGGAAAAGGATCCTGCTTTAGGAAAATCTGATATTGGAAATCGATCGTCGTCCAACTTGGCGTGAAGTGTTATCGTCTTCACCGATGTTCACGTCATACTGTGCACAATGAAATTCCTTGATTGAAAACCCTAAAGGAACAGAAATAAAAAAAAAACAAACAGCTTGTAGTCCCAATAATTTTCGTACTCACCTCGATTATGGAACATCTGGAGGATAAAAAAAACATCGTAAATGGTACGTTATAGATTCTACTAGCTGAATTATTCCGACAACGTCAGAGATTGGTGCCGGAAATGTACCACTTGTTCAGCAAGCAATGGGTTCCATCCTAAACTTAAAGCTGAGATGCAGCAGTTTATTGTAAAAAGCCGATTTGAAAGAATTGCCTTGACTATTCCTCTAAGTGAACTTATGCCGTTTTCAACCAGAAAGCTGTCACTTTAGCCGACGTGTTGATAGAGTGTGATCAGTAAATTAAGAGTGCCCCAATCGAATCAAGAAAGAAAATTCGAAAATAGACTATTTCAAGAAGTTTGTCAGAGACTAGGAATTCTAAAAATCAGAACTACAGCACTTCAGCCCCCACTCTGATTAATTGGCGCAACAAATGAACCAGACTCGCTAGATAATTGTCAAAGAGACTGGGACTAACACATTCCATTCTTTTTGATGGCGTTCCGAGAAGCGATAAATGAGTCTTTAGGTCAGGCACTTGCAAAAGTTCTGTTTGGAAGATACCCGCATATTGGTCCTTACCAACTTGAATCTAATTTACCCGAAGTTACCAATAAAATGCAAAAGTGACTAAATAATGTTTTAAAATATAGCGTTGTAAAGCAATAGTGCAGTCTCTGATTAATTTTTTAATGGAAGTTGAAACACCTATAATAACTGTTATCCATCGTGATTAGAACGCATTTCGTCTTTTATCGTTCTATGCCTTTTATTGTTAATAAATATCTAATCTCTGAACTAACTAGGCGCAGGTTCTATATTCTATATTCCGCAATAAACATAGTTGTGAAACGGCTCTACAATATGTTTTAAGTGACTGGAAAAAAAAATTGAAAATTACCTCTTTACAGTTGCAGTATTTTTAGACCTACAAAGAGTAGGCTAATAAAGAAAATTAAAAGCGTAGGTACTGATGGGACAGTTCTTAGATGGTTAAACAACAGGCAACAAATGGTAAAAATCAACAGCAAAGTCCAACGGGTTATGTAATGAAATGGGTGTGCCTCAGGGTAGTATTTTTAGGCCTTTGCTATTTTTAATTTATTTAAATGATATTTTGGACAATGCAGGGATATGTCAAATTCATTTATTTGCATATTATACTCTACTGTGTTTCTGCAGCAGTGCATATAAAAAATTTAATGCCTACTCACTTGGTACGCCAATATCGGCGCCAGTGCTATCGAATTGACTTCCGTAGTGAAATTGTTGGTCCCTAGACAGCGACATCGCGAAACCCCTATCCTTCTGGGACGATGTCGCCGTCGTTTGCCCGTTTTTTGTCCCCGCACTTTCTGTTGCTGCTGTCTCCTCCTCTTCCTCGTACTCTTCGGGTTCGTCGTCTTGCGTGATCGCGTCCTCGTTGATCGCTTCTTCGTCTAAATCGTCGGCTCCTAGGGGAGGCGCCGGCGGTGGCGGTTGAAGAGGCGGAGACGATATTGCTATTTCTTCACCTTCTTCGGCGTCTGCTAGATACTCCGGAATGTCGGGCGGAGTAAAAACAGGCGGCGCTGATTGAGGAGGAGTTTCGTCCCATTCGTTGACCAGCGGTTCCCCGAATTCGTCGCATTCTTCCACCACCAAAGAAGGAAAGTTTCCGATGTGACCGTCTAGTTCACCCTGCCACCATCCGTCGTCTATGCTGTGCGCACACCTGCTCAGTATTTTTATTATTTGCCCTTCTTCGAATGACAGTTCTTCGCCTCCTGCAAAATCACATAAAAACTCAAATAAGTAATGATTTAAATGTAGAACAAGCAAATAATGTACGTTGACGTACAGTGAATAGAAATAGTTGATGGTAGACAAAGACTAGAGGGTCTGAGGATACAATATGACATCTAGTTTTGAGAAATAATGATCCACAACTGTCAGGTTCATTGGATCTCCATGATTGTTGTAAACAGTAAAAATATGTTCATGCTTCGGAGTATTATGAGTATTTAATTTCATCTTTAGATCATAAGATCAGCTATATAATCCCAAATTGTTTATTTGTGTAATGGTGTCTCTTGTTCTTGTTTTATTTGTCAATTTTTGTATTAATACTTTGCATATTTTTTTCTCAATTCCATAGTAAAATAAATGAATTCTGTTTGCATCTTCATCTGATAAGGATCATAATTATGAACATATACCTACCTGCAGTTAATTGAGGCCGTACGTTTATAACAGTTGCCTAAAAGTGACCTATTTAATGAATCTACAGTATTATAAACACCAGATCGCGCAAGCGTACTATTTACATTATCTTAATTCAATTTTATGTTTTTTGGTTCTCCAACAATTTAAAACAATCGGATTTTTGCATTTAATCACGCTGTTCGATGCAGAGAACCAGAACAACTTACGATAAGTTTGTTCCAGCAGCAAGTCCTAAACTTGTTAAGCCATTCATTCAATTTCTAGAACAATTTAAGCATGCGCATTTAAAAATATGGATGCTTGGTAAGTTTGTATCGTGTTTCTGGAACGATTATTATACTGATCTTTCCTTCATGGGTAGAATGATGGAGAGTTAAAAGCAGATAGAAGTAAAAAATTCTTACCTTCACCTTCGTAATCATAAAGCGCTATACAATACGAAGGAGTACTTCCATCTTCGGGCGTTTTTTGCGGAATGGAGATAACAGAAATCTGCTCAGGACTTTGAGTGGTTTCAGTCTGTTGCTGGGCGCTCTCCTCTTCGTTATCTACCGTGTAATCGACCGAAGAAAAGGATATTTGAGTCTGTAGGCCGGGGGTGGTCACCGATTGTTCGCGTTCTATGTCTAGGTAATTTTGGGGCACGTATCCCTCCTCACCTCTGTAGTTTCGAGCCCGCAGCCAGCCGTCACCGTCACCTTCGCCCACCACTTCTAGTTGTTCGTTCTCTACGATTGTCAGTTCGTCGGGGTTTTGAGCCTAAAACAAGTATTTCAATCAAATATTATGATTATACTCGAACAAAATATTGGAGAAGGTGAGTCATATGCACGATAAACACTTTTCTTTCTGAATGAAAATTCTTACTAAAAGTAACAGAGTCACCATAGGCCGCGCGCGGCGTAACAAATATCAATGAATTATTTATTATTTGTTACCAAAATTTATTAAAATGATTGGTCAAAATTTTTATTCAAACATAGAGGATACGTTAAATATACAAAGCTTAATAATATGAATAGGAATATTTACTTTGGCAATTGTCTCTAATACGAAAAATATCCCCCACTTTTACAGCTTATTTTTAATTTTTATTGAAAAAAAAAAATAAGGACATGTAGGTATAGGAAAGTCCTTCAGTGTGTGGATCACTTACAAGAGTCAAAAACGCTACATTAAAATCAGTTGAAACTTTGAAATAGAGAGCAAAATGATAGCCGTGATAAATAAATAACAGAGGGGTTACGGATTAAATATTGTCAGCATACCCACAAAGACAGTTGAAAACTAACATTCGACGAAGTTAGACTTGTATCGATTTACGATAATTATTTTATATGTTATAAACTACTCTTGTCTAATATAGTTAGTTCATGTTTGTGACTAATAAAAAGTTTTACTTATTGTGTAGTATATTAAATACATTAAAAGTTGGATATTAAAATATTTTTAAAAATAAAAGTAAAATATGAAAAGTGTATGTTGAGCTCAAACAGACACTTCCTACAAATTAATCCGTAGACCGTTGTTCTTTTTTAATTTGGTATCTGTTGAGACAGTTGAAGGCGTTGTACGCGAAATTACACATACATGCTCCTTAGAAGCTCTTAAAACGCATACCCATGAAATTGAACGATAACAAAAAACAAATAATACCAAGAATTGTACATTCTTTTTTTAAAATAAAGCGCAAACACTTGAAGCTGTTTTGAAATTAAAAGAAAATGAAGAAATTCTTTTATTCAACTGTAAAACTATGAAAACTTTTATGGGGCCTGAAGTTTCGTTTGGTCACACAGTGTAGGAAATCAATTTAAATTGAGAGGTCAGATATAGTGTCCCGGCGACGGCGTTATTTACGAAGCATTAAAGAGTTTAGAGCCATTAAAAAAATACTATCTCGATGAAACGTGGGTGTCTAAAATATGGCAAGATGCTTCTGTTACGAGTCATTGCCAAGTCTTTGTGGAAAGTGACACTAACTTATTGAAAAAAAGTGCTATTGTGTTAATATATAAAAAAACGGGATATTATCACGAATACATGAATGCCAATATAATGATTATACGCCCTGGAAGAATATAGATGACTAGTATGGCACGTGATACCATACCGGTATAGTACGATGATTGTACATGAACAGGGATGAATCCACGATACACAGACTAACGGTATGCTCATGCTGACTTTTGATTCAAATTTCGTCCAAACCGCGCGGTGACGTAATGCGGGACGGACTTTCAAGTTATTTAGATACTTTTCGATTAAATAAAATAATGTAATAATTTATTTGTTTTTGTGTTAGTAGTGACTATATTCTCCTGTAACGGAGAAGAACTGAATTAATGTTTAAAATGCTAGGCTGCGCGGTGACGACTTGCAAAAATCATAATACGAAATCCAAAAATTGTATAAATGTATGATATTTCCGAATGCCACAAAATGTGGGTAACTTCTTTTCGAAGAAAAGACAAACTTAATTTAAACAATGGTTAGTAAAATGCATAAGTATAATAGGTTTAGAGACAGTGAAAAGTTATATATATATATTTTTTATTTTAGCATGAATTTGCTCTATCCACTTTGAGGAAAGTAGCTGTGAGATTCCTCTTAAATAAAGACGCAAAAAAACGAAACTGAATTCCACCAGGTGTATGGGGCCTCATTAAGCCAAAAAAAAGAATAGGTATTTAAAAATTTTAGCAGTAGTTTCATGTCTCAATACAATGGTCTCTTTTGAAGTAATACTATGCATGAGCAGGGACAAAACATATATAAGAATAAGATACATGAACAGAACAATTGATTTTGAGTATTTTCAAAGAAAATTTGACAAAAAAATGGTTTAAATTTACCAAATAAAAAGTAATTGTGTACACTTACTTTTTATATATAAATAATTTATGTCTGCATACTTATTTTTATTTCACATAATAAGAAAAGGAATAGCAGGAGAATTACCACGCCCAGAAAGTACAAATTTGAGTCAAACTTGTATTTTTAACTGTATATTTTTTACTTATCTTATGGCCAGGGTATGGATTTTGTCACAAAATAACTATAACTTATGAGAAAAATTAATATTTTTATTAGTAATATTTACCTTAACCTTCATATTTATAAAGGAATATATTACAAAGTAACTGAATAAAATCAAAAAACCGCGACATATCGAATTTCAAACACTATCTCCCTTTTAATGCTAATACTTCTATGTCCCACGTGACGTCACCGTCAGTCAATTGCATGCGCAGGAACATACCATTAGTCTGTGTATCGTGGATGAATCAGCTTTTCGAATATTTTGTTCGAGTATAACAACGTAGAGGCGCGGATCCAGAACCCGGCCAAGGGGCCGCAATTTGCTGAATTCGTAGGTTGATTTTTTTTTTACTGTTGGTAAAGTAGAGTTAACAGGTTCAGGCAGGGGGTCAATGGCCACCATTACCCCTCCCCCCTCGAGGCATAGGAAAGATCATTTAACTGCAAAAGTTAAAATGTAAAAATCTTCGCAACTACAAATCAAATTATATCTCAACCAGCTACGCCACTGGTTTTTACAACCAAATATTCTGAAATACAGTAAAACTTTGGCACTGATAAACGTTCCCAAGTATATTAATGAGTTGTTGCTAAGCCGAGGAAATTCTTCACTCGGTTTGTTCTACGATATACTAATTACGGGGATTGATATTTATTTTATGTTTATTTTTCCTTTATATTTAACATTGCCGCAAACACTATAAATACATATAAAATTAGGTACATTATTTATCCATTCCACAAGTATAAATAATCAACACAAGGAACCTGCTATAGGTATAACAAAATTAGGTAATTTTTCACAGTAATCACGTGAGTTATTATGTAACATGTAAGTTACTTTATTAAGTAACACGGAACTAGTATATGTAAATGATACATATTTGTTACATGTTTGTGTTTGCTGATGGGTTTTCTAAATTTAAGTCACATTTTATAATGAAGTGAGGTATAATAAAACAAATAGAAGAAACTCCCAAAACCAACTTCCTTCGAATAAAAGCAGCAGAATGATGGAGATCAACTTCAAAGAACATTTTAGTTTTATTTCCCTAGTCCACCGGCTGCTACGTACACACGTTCTGCTGGGGGTAATTGAAACCGCATTAATCAATATAGATATTTCTACTTACCGACCAAACTAAACGAAACTCGTCTACAACAAAACGAGTTCAAAGAAGAAGTACGAATAAACTGACTGGAGTTTGGGAAATAGCTCCCGACTTTATGCAACTTTACTTTTAACGTTTGTATGTTGCTGAAAAGGTTTCCCAATCCCAATCATTATTTAGTAAACGCAAATGTCGGTCTTTTTAATGTGCCTAAATTTAAAAATGACATTCAAATTAAAATATATCATTTTGCAAACATTTTAATAGTTTTGTTTGATTGTATATTGCGAAATATTTCTTTTGTATCTGGGAAAATGTAAGTAAGTATCGATTTTTTAAAATTGTTCTAAATTTAGAAAAAAAAAATGTGTAAAGAAAATTTTGAGAAATACTTCAGAATTGCACTAGAAATTACGCAATTTTTTAAGATATTTTTTCTCCACCGAGAAAATTGTATTTAGACTTTAAAAACACTCGGGCGCCAGATTATTTATTGTGTTTTGTTCCACAAACTTTCGCTAGGGCGTCATTTATAAGAACCCATACATAAATGTTTAAAATATATAAAATTTTCTTTCTAAATGAAAATTGGAATAAATCATGAGAATCAAAATATTCATCAAAACATTTTTTTATTTTATTTTCTAACTGAATCCATGAAATAAACTGTAACATTTATTTTTATCTCAATATGACAGCTGCTTGATGAAGAGTTTTCTTAAATTTCCATATCACATTCACAAGTGTTAGAAACATCCAAGCCTTTTGAATTTGTAGGTATAGCAGTGACATTTTCAATTTCCGTACCTGCTTTTAGGATAAATATTGTTTCTTTTCAATTTGAGTTAATATATTTTTTTAAATCCATATTTCATTATATATGTGCCATTCGCACTGCTTCAGAATAAATATACCCTCCCTAGAGTGGAACTTTTTCTTATTAAGTACTTAAAATAAATAATGTTTATTGATGAAAAGGAATAAGCCGTTTTTCAATAATTATTTATCCTTATACAAACAGAAAAAATGGTCACAAAATAATTATTTTAATAAGAACTTAGGGAGAAACATGATTTATATAAGAAATATTACAAGTAAATCTCATACAAGAATTTTTGAATCTTCTGAAGTTTCTCTTGGTTACATTTAGTAAGAAAGTAGTAGTAAAATATAGAACAGCAATCAATGTGAGGATATATAAGAGCTTTAATAAGTTTTAATTTAATGTTTTCACTCAATAGAAACTTCAAATGATAAATTTAGGTATTTTAAGTATGAAATGCTTTTTCTAGCAGGGGCAGAAGTTGGAAAGGCTTCTCGCAGTTCTCCCACTTTATACACATAAATTGAGAGTTTTGCAACGGAGCTAACCGAAGTAGACGCAATACATTGGCGTACAAAATTATTATATAGATGTTAATAACAATTTCGGGTAAATAGTTTAATAAATTGTGAATAGCTGTTGAAATTTTGTAGAATTATGATATGGAAATTTTTTCGATATTCCAGCATTAAAGTCCTAGTTAAGTGTTGTTTATGAAACAACTGAAATTAGTAATAAAAAGACGTCCATCAATGTGTTAAATTTTCTTATAACAACTGGTT